TTTTGAAAGTTTATTTAAATTAGAAAAAGATAATCTGTCAGAATTGTCTTCATTTTGGGATAAAAATATAAAAACAAATGAACCGGATAGAAATAAAATTGAATTATTACAACAATATTGGTTAGAGCGTTGGGAGGAACAATGGAATAGGTTAATATTTCAAATTATTAGAGTTGTATATACATGGGTCTATAAGGTGTTTCAGCTCGAACCTGTTACGAGTAAAAAAATCTGTGTTTTCATAGAATTTTAAAACAAGGCTTGGTTACTCTTTATTATATCTCGTTAAAACATTAAGATTTTGATGAGGTTAAAAATAGTAATTCCTTTTCCAATAGTAATAGTAATAGTAATTCGTAATAGTAATAGTAATAGTAATTCCTTTTTTTTGAGTCCTTTTCCTCAAAAATAGGAAAAGGACTCAATAATAGTAATAAAATCTCCAATAACTCCTCAAAATTAAAAATTCCTGAATTAAAATGTCCTGAATTACACTTTTTGAAAAGGGATGCTCGTTGAAATGGGATGTCTCCAGCTATAGAACATTCGAAAAAGCAATAAAAACAGTATATATAAAATTTCTAATTAAGTTCTGATTATGAAAAACAAACTAGTAAATTAATATCAATAAGCCGACCAAACAAACGTTTCCTAATCGAGAAACATGCATTGGCTATAAAACTATTAATTGTACATTTTGATGAATTCCGTCAATTAATTAGACAACGAGGTACAAAAAGTCAGATTATCAAGCTTTTTGAACTTGATTATAAAAATATTAACTCAATTCTTGAATCAAATAATGTAAAAACTCTTAAAACAATGGATGATCTTGTGTTTGCTTTGTTAAAAACAGGTAAATTACATTGAAATTTAATGAGCCGTAGGTTGGTAAAATCCTAATTAATCATCGTGTAATCCAAATTATACAATTAATCAACAAGTAAAAGTTTAGCTTGGACAGAAATTGAACCATCAATTTCTTGTTAAATTCGTTTAAATTATTGAATACTTGATGCCATAGCATACAAAAATTCATTTCAGTTGGTCAGGACCAGGGTTTGCGTTAAATTTTGGCCTTGCTTTGCTTTTTGCGTTTTTTGAGATTGTCCCCAACCCTGGTCAGGACATATCGCACCATACTATTAGGCGTCTGGATTTGATGCTTGTAGCATCTATGTAGGGTTGTTCTCAAGGATATTTTATTCCTTACATATTCTTATTAAATTTATTTTAAGATATAAATAGAGAAAAATTATTGGAATGGCTTTATGAGGATTATATGCAAGCACTAGATTCAGAAAATAATTTAGAGCGTAACTGTGCCATTGCTTCTTCAGCAATTATTATAAATATTCTTTGGTTAGATAATTATTTCCCTAAAGATCTTCAAGATTTTTGGAAGCAAAAATATAAACCAATACTTCTCTTATATGTTGATAGATTAAAACAAAATAAAATAGAAATAATTAAAAATTATTTAAATAAATTTTTAAATATGCTTACAATGCTAAATGATTTTATTATACAAATTTATAAAATTAGAAATAATGGAAAAGATTGTTTGGATATTGTGAAGGAAGTGAGTATTAGTCCTTGTTAATAGAGGCAACCCTCGCTAGCATAGATAATTACCACGGATCCCACTATAAGAGACATCTGATGATTTTTGAATTTGGTTGGAAGTGTTAAGATGTTATACACATTTTAAGATATCAGTTCTAAAATTTTTTGGAAGACCAATCACTAGATTTCATTTTTCACCGCCGCAGGCGAAACTTATGAAAAGGTCAATATTTCTTCTTCCTAATTCTAGGATCCTATCCCGAAATTTCGAGGGTCCGATAACCTTAGTAACTTTGGGGATATACAAAAATAAGGTTTGATATAAACTTTCATTAATAATAAATACATGTACATATAGTTTAATAAATGGAGGATAATCTAATAAAAAAGTATAACTAAATTATTAATTTTTTTTAAATTATAGGGATTTTTAAATGATAAAATTCAAGAACTATTAGGATACAATCAATCAACCAAGGATCAAACTGAGCAAAATAAATTAATAAATGATATAAAAACTGAGTTAAATAAATTAATAGACAGTTTAGATCAAAACGATCAAAATAATAAATTTGAAGATATTGATGATTTTAGGGAACTCATTAATTATGGACATAATTGGGTTATTAACAATTTAATTAATCCAAAATTTCATGAAAAAATAGAAGGTTAATTTATAATAAATTACATGGTATTAAATAAAGAATATTTCCCCAATTCATAGAATCTTTCATCCGATTCTATGATTGAATTGGGATTATAATGGATAGCCAAATTAAAAATTCAAATAAAATTCAGGAGTATATAGGGCCTGTGGTTTATGTATATGAACAATGTCCAAATGTATTTTTTAGTTCGATAATTTTTTTAATAAATTGCAAATCGGACATAAACTTTTGGTAATATTATAGCATTTAAGTCATTTATTATTAATATTCTAGTAGGACAGCTTAAAACTATCATGATAATTTTCTGCAAAATTTTTTAACATATCTAAATCTATAAGAAAATTTAAGGCTTAGACACAAGAGGACTTGAACGACTGGAAGCTATAGAATATATGATGATTGACAGTGAATATACAAATGATTCGGGATACTATAATGTAAGGATTTAATGATAACGGGGTAGAAAAATTTCTGAAATGGGAAATTATTAGGACTGGGTCAGAATCATGTTCAGTATTGATCACATTTTAATGACAAGTAGGGTAGATAAGGGATTTTATATTGAACAAGGTACTATTGAAGTAAAGCGACCCATAGATGAACGGACATTGTACAAAGACTTTAAAAGCTGTTCAGTGTTAATTACGGTTTTCGTGATCAGTCAGAATGTGCCGGATATAAATTCCATGCCAAAAACTTAGGTTTCATCGAAGATTATTATTGTATAATTATCTAGTGAATTTTTGATCATAAAATAGCTTTAAAAAATTTAGAAATACAATCCTATTGAGTTTGTATGCCCAGAAGGACAACATTATGAAAATTTGACAAATAATGAGCCTGAAAGTTAGTTTAATTTAAAATAAAATTAAATAATAAAAAAGCTTATGGGCAAACATTTAAAATAAAATTAAAAAAAATTTTTAGTTCCTGGCTATGAATTAATTCCAACAAAAGAAACAATTGATATTTACATAAATTATTTATCACAAATTAATCAACAAAATGAAGCTAGTAGAAGCAGTACATCACAACTATTAGTAGATGCTTACAAAATAAATATTTCTGCTGCTATATCCAAATTTACTTATTTAATTTCAAAAATATTAACTGAAGATTTGGAGGCTTTTGAAGAAGAAAATGAGCATCAAGAAATGATTGTTGATTGGATAAATGTTGGTAATATCCCTCAAAACACAATTGACGATATGGAGGTAGATAGATCAATGAACTTGAATTTATTTTTAAAAATTTTTGTATCAATGGGCCTTTAATAGGCCTTGAGCAGATAGCAGGGGCCTTGAGGTCCAAGGCCTAATAGGCCTTGGAGGATGGCATTCCCGTTTGAAGGATGGCATTCCCGTTTGGGGATGGCATTCGAGGGATGGCATTCCCGAGGGATGGCATTCCATGGATGGTATTCCCGTTTGAAATATGATCGTTTGTTAGGGTATTTGGTGAGGGTACTTATTTTTATTTAAGGGAGGGCAATTAATACAAATTATACCTTAATCACTTTCTTGCCTAGATATCCACAACATTATCCAGATCTGATTTTTTCTAATTTCAGTTAAAATTATGCAAAATATTTTTATTTCTGGAAGATTGGTTTCTATGGAATGGGCATTTCGCTAACTTAGTAAACAATGAAAATAAATTAAATTTTGAAGAACTTAAAAAGTATGTTGAAAATGTACCAAGAGGACCGCTTAATTGCTCATTAGAATATGCGATAGATTTTTCAAATGATATATTGGTAAATTAACTTAATTAAAATAAAATTCATCCTTCAAAAGATTCATCCTTTTTCAACTTCAAACGGTCTTGTCCGGCACAATTATGTGACTTAGACGTGAATTTCTGCCTTATGGACCAGGGCTGCAACTCGCAATCCGCAATTTTTAAAAATGTAGAAAAATATCCTCAAATATATCATTCAACTTCCTTTTACAGCGCCGCAGAATTTTAAGAATTTGGAGAGAAAAAGAAGCCAGATTTCTTCCTTTTTCAGAGCCGCAGGCGAATATTTTGTGAAATTTGGCGTCAAGAAGCAAGATTTTCTTCATTTATTGTGAGGAAAATTTCGAAAATTTCCCCTGCAGCGCTGTCAAAGGAAGAAATTGCTTCGCGGCCTTCCAAAATTTTTGACTGTGTTTTGAACTATACAAAATTTCGACTGTTATCTTTGTCCCACCCTTAACACAAATATACATTTAATTCATCCAAATCCCCTTACATTACTTTAGCATCATCTAAATAACGGAAATATTCATTTTGACGTTTTCGATGCAATAATTACAAATTCTGACAGTATGCGCCATTTTTTATGTAAAAATGATATTAAACAAATAAAATATTATTTAAATGGATTAATGTATGCAGACAATCTAATTCTTCTAGAGAAAAGACATCCAGAAGTTCTAAAAATAGGTATTTTTGTATTGGGAAGGAATCCCGTCCTGAGGATTAATCCCACGGGATCTTTTTTGAAAAGAAACCCGTTAAATAATCCCAGAAACCTAGGTTATCTTAGAATAGGTTAAACTAACTGTGCTGCCATCCAACCCTATTATTCTGAATTTTATTTCTATTCTATCTTCAAACATAATGTTCTTAAATTGGAATAACTAAATCAAATGCCTTCGCCTTAAGAGAATGGCACTTGTTTAAAGTTGTACAGAGTTTTACTGAACTACTATAAAAGAAAGAGATTTATACCCGGATTACACATCAATTTGTCAATTTTTCTTTTAAATTAAGATCAAATATTCACACAAATGCGGTTGAGTTATTATACTGCTTACTTAATACATCCAATTTATTCTGCCAAATCGACTAGCGCAAGATTCATATTATTCGGGTCTTTATTGTATGGAAAAGTTAAAGATAGTTTTGAGGAAATTAAAAAGGTATCGGGCAATGGAAAAAAGGTAGAAGATTTTTAAAATACTTATAAATATAGTAAATTTTGATTGAATCCCTCCCCGCATTTCAATCGAAGTTCCTTGCTAATTTATTTAATTTTTGAAATTTAAAAGAAATAACCTAATACCACAACCTCGCGAAAAAAATATAAAACGACTTAACTCGACTCGCCCATTAACTTTTAGGATCGACTTTAATACTAGAAAACCATGTCGATGCAGAAGACCCTTTAATAGAAGACCCTAAGAATACCCACAGACAAAAGACAACCTCACATTGATGTTCCAAAATGGGAGGTTTCTCCAACAGCGGGTAAAGTTTTGCAACAATAGGGAGGTTGTTGCAAGAACGGGGAAGGTTATTCCAACAGCGGGGAAAGTTGTTCCAACAATCAGGAATGTTGTTACAAGAACGGGGAAGGTTATTCTAATAGCGAGGAAAGTTGGGAAGTTGTTCCAATAATTGTAAGGTTGTTCCATCGAAGGGTAATCTTGTTCCAATGTTGTTCCGATGACAAATTATAAGGTACATTTCTACTAAAAATGAGTCTTGACTGTATCAAAATAAAAAGAAATTTAAATTTATAGTTAATTCCCGACAATAATTCAAAGCTTGAAGTTTTTTCTGATCGTTTAAAATGGCTCAAATCTCAACTTTTTGCCAACGACACTTCATTTTATACTTCCAAAAGTTTATGTTTAATGGTTAATTTCGTTCAATTGGCAACACCAGAAAAATTTCATGAAGCAAATGAAAGAATAGGACAAAAAAACAGAATATTTGATTTGAACGAAGTAAAGGAATGGGAAGGAAAGGAATGCGAAAATATTGAAGATAATTTACTGCGGAAGAGATCATTATTCATGCAAACAGTAAAAAATTAAAATTATTTTTACCGAGATAATTTTAGTAGATACTGTATTTTCTCGATTAATTCTCCTGGGGAATTATTTTTTCAACCCTTCTTGGCATGGGGAATTATTCAAGTTTTGGCATTTGAACGTGAAGTAGGGTATTTGGGGCTGGGGAATTATTGTTTCAACCCAACTCTAGCATGGGAATTAATCGAGAGGGAGAATTATTCGAAAGAGGGGAAAAAAGGTCGAAAACGAAACTCAAAAATCGAAATCTAGGTGAAGCCTTGCTTAAGCATTTGAATTATTTTATTCAGATAGAGGAAATATTTTTAAATTTAAATTTATTTTAGGTACTTCTTGAGGAAGAACATTACAACTTTATTGAAGAATATATTGTAGATAAACATTTTATTATGGATCATGTCGAAAGAAGAGCCCGACTTAACAAACTTTTTGTTGATGGAAAGTACAAATATTTCACCGAAAATATTAAGTTTTTAATATTAAAAATTGAAAAAAAAAAATAAGAAATTTATATTAGGGTTGCCACCACTAGAAAGGGGGAGGGGAGGGGTTGCGAAAATATTAAAAAAATATACCCCCCCCCCTATATTAGGGTTGCCCTCACCACTATATTAAGGTTACCAACAAAATCCTTAACTTCTTCTTTTGATCAATCCCTCATTCTAATGAGGAACTGATCACAGAATTTTGGTTGACCACAATGTGTTAAAAAGTACCATTTGTTTTTTTATAAATACTGAATTATTTTATTTATTCTCAATTTTTCCTAATTTTAGCATTTACCAACATAGGAAATTTTAATTATAATATAATAAAAATGTTTGATGAGAATGAAGTAACTGCGGAACAAAATAGAATGGCTGCAAGTATATTTGTGTTCCATAAATGGATTAAACTTCGTGTAGAAATCAAAAAAGATTTGCCTAAATATTGGGAAAACCTCTTAAAATATGAAGAAACAAAATTTTGGCTTAACGATTTGTATGAGCATGTTTTTATTTTGGAAGATTTAAATCATTTTGGGGATGATAAAGCTTTAAAAGTATTAGCTGGAGTTAAGGCTATAGCAGACGGAGAGTTAAAAATGGAATGTGGAAATTCGAAAAATAAGTTTGTTAATTTATTTTAATTTTTAGAAAAGATATACGGTATATCCTTTAATAACTACCCTGGGTAATTATTGTTTTGACCTTCCGCTGGAGGGAGTAATTATACGAGGTTTGAAAGTTGAACGTGTTTTAGAGCATTTATTGGGGGGGGGGGGGTAATTATTGTTTCAATCTATCGCTGGATGGGGTAATTAATGGAAGTGAGGTAGAGGTAATTATTTGAGAGAGGGCAATTAATAAGGTTATACGGTATAATAATCATAACATTATATTACAATAGGTTATTCATTTTATACTCCAAACTCCGACCAGGTCTGTATCGGAATTTTGATTTTTTCATATTCTTTGACTTTTCCATGTTCCAGTTTCTCAAATTTCAGAGTAAAATCCCCCAATTTCCTACTCCAATTCCAGCATTGGAAATGCTTAGAAATAACCCTTAATGTTATAAATGTATTTTAATAGAACAGAAGGATTTTATGGGAACCGGATCACCTTAATGTTATGCCACCTAAAACAATTATCCAGATTCTTATAAAATATAGATTATCAATTTTTTGTTAATAAGATTTTTCAAGGGATTTATATAAAGAATTAACACGTCATCTGGATATGATAGGACTGGATCAACATGAAAAATTAAATAAATTATGGCAGAAAAAACACAATAAGCGAATCTTTGTAACTTGGATAAAAAAATTAATGAAGGATGAATTATTTAAAGAATTTGAGATGGTAAAAAATGTTGATAAAAAAGGGAAGAAAATTAAGGATAGTAATAATACTTATATGGAGGAACAATTAAAAGAAATTAATTATTTCTTGGATAGATTGAAAGAAGGTAATTAATTCTTAAACCTAAAGTTTGTTGATTTGATGAGGATCATAAGCATAAATTTTTTGCTGCTTGTGATGGGAACAGTTAGAAATGAATAATAGTGACGGTAGTGCCTAGAAAAACATCTTCCGGATCTGGATTTTGGATTTCGCGTCAATTCGGAGCGAATCCGTCCTGATTTTCTGGATTAATTTGATCAGCAATATTCTAGAGACGGCGAAAACCCCCAAATTTTGGGTCTGACTCTGGAACAATCCGGGTCTGGCCCGTACCGATCATTAATAGTCTAGGTTAATTTAGATAAGCCATAGGTTGAATAATGAATTTATTGTTCTAGAGTAAGATAAAAATTTGTTATAATAATTCACCAAAAAAAATAAATTATTAGATCTCCTTTCTCACAAAATAGACATAGATAAATTTGCTTCCGCGTTCAACCTCGATGAAAATAATATAAAAGATATTTTTGATATTTTAAAAATGAAAATTAAACCTAACGAGTTACGATTAGAAATTAAAAAAGAAAATCAGAATAAGCAACAAAATGAGAAAAAAGAAATAAATCAAGAAGAAAATAAAGAAGATGCTAATCTAAAAAATAATGAAAATTTGAAAAACGAAAATAACGAAAAAATGAATTCAAGTAAAGAAATTAAAGAAGAAAATACTAATTCTAAAAATAAGAAATCTAAGAAGAAAAAAGGAGTAAAAAATGCAGGGGTAAAGGAAAATGTTGTTGAAGAAATAAAAGAAGATAAGAATAGAAAAATTATTGAAGACGTTGAAGTGGGGAATAAAAATGAAGAAAGTAATAAGGAAGAGGTTAATAAGGCAATAATTAAAAATCAGCAAGAAGGAAAGGATGAAAGAAATAAGGAAGAGAATAATGCTGAGGAAGAAAAGAAGATTGAATTGGATAATGAAGAGGAGAAGAAAAACGTAGAAGAGGAAATGAAGATTGAAGGAAATAATGAGGGGAATAAAAAGGAAGGGGAAGAAGATGAAAGGGAGACTGATGGGAATAATGTAGTTAAGAAGGATGAAGAAGAAAAGAAGATTGAATTGAATACGGAGGGGACGAAGAACGATCAAGAAAAGGAAAGGAGGGCTCAAGAAGTAAATGATGAGAAAAAGAGGGAAGAGGAAGAAGGGAAGGTTGAAGTGAATAATGAAGCTAGCTCTATCAAGAATAATGTTAAAGATAAGAAAACCAGGCGAAAAACTAAATCTAGGAAGGCAAAGTCTAATAATCTGAAAAAGACTGAGGTTAAGGATAAAGAACTCTTAATTAAGACAGAAGATGAACCCACAGAAAAGTAAGAAGGAATTTCTTTATTAAGTAGACCCCTAGGTCCCGACTTAAGAGGGGAAATTGAGAGGGGAAATTTTTTTTTATTTCTTTTTTTATTTCCCCTCAAGAGGGGAAATTTTCCACTTATGTATCAGAATATTATTTCTGGTGAGAATCTGGAAATACCTAACAACAATTTGGAGAAAGTCAAGAATATGGCTACTAAGCAAAAATACTTGGATCATATGTAATTCGAAAGAGCTCACTCAACAAGCTGAGGCGAATGACATATGATTCAAGTATTTTCGTTAGCCATATCTTGACTTTTACCAACAATTTAAATAATAATTAATAATTACTAATATTTATAGCAAGGAAATTACCGATAAAAGAAATCAAGAAGGAGATGATTATTTATTGCCAGACAGTGAAGATGATAGTCTTGGATTTACCAATTCTAGTATTAAAATAATAGAAAATAGTTTGTCGAATATTCAAACAGAATTATTGGATGATAAAATGAATGAGTTGAATTTAAATAAAAATGAAGGTTTTTTTTTTAAATTATTGACATCTTCCATTATACCTCCAGTGGCTTTAGATAACCTCTACCCTGCGATTATTTATATAACGATAACTTGTATTCACCCCACAATCGACTAGTGGTTTTGAATTTTTGTTTAAACAACTTAGTTTGGTATATAAATAGTAATTATTTAATTATTTTATTTTCAACCAGAGTTAGTAAAAATTAAAGATTTAAAAAAACAATTGAAGCAAAATAAAAATTACAAATTAAAATTTACTAAAAAACACAAATTAAGTGCTAATCAAAAGATTATGAAGTATAAAAATAAGGTAAAATTCTGGGCTTTACATCAGAGAATATTATGAGTTAATTTGAGATATGTTTTTTAAAATTTGCTTGGCAATAGAGGCATTAACTAACTAGTTAATGCCTTAAATTTGGGATCCATTAATTATACTAACAATAAGGATCGTTGGCGGTTTCGTCAGATTCTTTGGTTACCGAAACCGAACCGAAAATTTTCGGAGGTTTTTGGTTTGTATGAAACTGACAACCCTAAATATTACTAATTTCTCATAATGAGTTTCTATAAGACAATAATATTTTTCTAGGAAAATATTTGTCATTTAAATGAAATAAATAAATTAATTCAAAAAATTGAAAGTATAATTTCATCAAATAATAAATCCGAAGAATTTAATAAATTAAAACTCGAATGGGAAAATTTTAAAAACAACAGGCTCAATGATTTTAATTGCAAATTATTCAAAGCAAAATTAGAAAAATATAAAACTACAAAATTAAAAGTAAAATTAGAAAATGAAAGAAAACTTTTGGTAAATTATTATAATAATTAAAAATAATTTTTGAAATAATCATCCAATAAATATGAAGGCAATCATTGAACTTGAGTATATCTTTGACATTATTGTCTTATTCATGCTGAATTAAACTGAAGCTCCTCCACGAAGCCAGTAACGTCAACCTTCATTACTTTATATTTTCGCCTTTTTTACATTCGTCTTCCTCATTTTAAATTGACCTTTTTTCGTTTTCCTTTCTTTTAAAATCGTTTCGACGTACCACTGAACCCAAGTACGATTTTTGTTCAAAAACAGAGAAACTAATATCAACAAAACATTTCTCAAAATTTTTTAAATTTTAATTCTTAGATTGAAGCCGTACTTCAATTGATACCATCAGATAATAGTAAAATATACCCACTCGAAGATACTATCTTATCCTTTAAATCAATCATTTATGGATGGGTAATAATTATTTAAATAAACATTAGATTATTTTTTCTTCAAAAAATTTTAGCGTCCAGAATCTCTTATACTTATTTCTGGTTCGTATATATTCAAATCTCTCACGCCTGAGTCGGATATTGATATGATTGTATTATTGCCGAATTATGACAATATTACTGAAATTTATACAAATAATTTGATTTTTAATGAAGATGAAAATTCATTATATGATATAATTAGAAGGGTAATTATTTAATTAATATATACTTTAATCCGATACCCCAATATTAAGCACTCTTCAATTTAGGATAGTATGGTTAATTTATCGGGTGAAATACCAGAACGATACACTATAGGACTGGCAATAACTGAGAATTTTTCGGATATCTAGATCCTGAACCGATGTGCGAAACAAAAATTTCCTTATATTAGGAACAGGCAACGTAATTAGCCTCTATTAAGTTACCTCCCACTTATACGATAAAAATTTTTATCACTAATTTGTACGACTAGTTAAGATTATTTTAATTTTAAAGATGGATGGTGTTTCATCATTATTCAAAGTTGGCGGTCGAGTACCTTTATTAAAGCTTAAATATTATGGTTATGATTTTGATTTGCTTTTTGTTGGAGTTCCATGTCTCCAAACGAATGAAGATTCTGCGTTTTTAAGGAAAGAATATAAGGAAAATTTAAATTTGAACGATACTGATAAACTTATTAATCAAATTATTTTTAATCTTCGAACAAAACCGATCGAAGATATTCGTTCAATTATACTTCCACTTTCCGGTCTGATATTATAAGACATATAGAAATGAATAATATTTTATTTAAAGGTTATCGAGCCAATCTTTATATTGCCAAATTAATGGAAGAAAATTTTGAAAATTTTAAAACGCTTCTTCTTGTTTTAAAAATATGGGCTAAAAGTTTGTAGTTTTATTTTTGAGTAAAATATTATTTTTGAATTTAAGAGCATTTTATATATAGCGGACAATTTGGATTTTTCAATGGAACAAATTTATCAGTAATGGCTTGCAAAACAATTTTGTTAAATAAAAATAAAAATCAATCTATTGTCTATCTATTAGAACAATTTTATATCACATTTACAGAATGGTTAGATAAGAGATTTTATTGAAAGAGAGCTAGATTTGTAGCAAGGATGTGCCATTTTTCCGAATCCGATAACTGAACTCCAATTGTTCAATCCGAAGAAATTCAATCCAATAAGGAACTTTTCGAAAATCCTATCCGAAATCCTATCCGTTTTCCCTGCCTATGACAGCTATAATCTGAAGGCCGCTAGACTTGTTACTTTCCAATTAAACCTTCAAATATATGTACATAATACACTTTCACAACTTTAATTATATTTTGTCAGGAATTGGCAAAACCCGTTATTATTGGAAGGCTTTGTTCAACAATTAGCCCAACAATCCAACAATTCATTAGATATACAAAATTATCAAGATTTTATCCGAATCAAAACCACACTAGATTGGGATATTAATTCTGATTTGACTAAACGTCAGCAATTATTTGGTCTTGATAATTATACAGTTTACAATAAAAATATACATCGGTTAATGCAGCATGCTAAGCTGATGTGGCCAATTATTACCCCAGGAAATCCTCCACAGAATGCTGGATTTAATATAAATTATTCAACTTCAAAAATTTTACTTTCAGAAATGAGATTAGGTATTTACATAGTTTGGAATTTAATCTTTTTCTAAAATTTTCCAAATAAAATGAGTATTTACACAAAATTGAGAGCATTTATGCTTAAGTTGTCAGTGATTTTGTCAGTCATGAAGTTGTCAGTGATATTTGAATTAAAAAGGAAAGATACAATTAGAGTCGTTTTTTTCGAGTCGTTTTTTTCGGGCCTCATTTTTATCGAACAGGGCCGTTCTTGTCTTTTTCGGGCCAAAATTTGAGGCCCGGTTCGATCTTACGAATCGAACAGAACTGGGCCCCAACCCAAATTAGATAGCCAATCTTATATACAAAGGGATTATATCATTAAGAGAGTTTTCGTATGTTTTATTAATTATTTAAGAGCTAATCCACAGTCCTAAAAATCAAACTTCTCCATCATTAAAATATGTTCAAAGTGCCATAGAATATTACAACAGCAAAAAGAAAAAAAGTAGAAAAGATAAAATTCTTATAAAAAATACATGGATAAACTGGCTAGATGGAGGTCCTTTCGAGGAAAAGGTTTTTTAATGTTTAATTTTTCTGAACTTTATTTTTCAAGTATGAACACTTTATGGCAATTACTTCAATCAATTCAAATCCTAATAATTCGAATAATCAAATATTTGAAGAGTTTAACAATTTTGTAGAAACCCGAATTAGATTAGGACTTGTATTTAATATTGAAAATATTCCTGAAATTAATTATTGTCATGCAAAACCTGGAAGAGTTTGGAATAATGAAAAGTGCCCTTCAATAATTATTAAGAATAATATTAATGAAAAAATGAATGGAGAAAAAAATGACAATACTGAGTATGTGTATGAATTGAATTCATAAATAGAATACACTTGATTTTCACCATAAGATACTTCAAATTATAAGATACTCCACGAAACTTTCTGTCCGATCCCTGTCCAAAATATTAAAAATATCTTAAGTTAAGAACGTCTTTATTTAAATTTAGTAGATGGAGCTGTTTAAGTCATAATCCCAATTTAACGTACCCTCATTATTAGATCTATAAATATGGTTACCTATTTACTGTAAATTAATTTTCAGAAATACTTCAACTACTATGTTATGTACAACCTGGATAGTCGGCATTAAAATAAATTCTACAACAAGATTACCTTTTTTAATTTTTATTTCCTCATCTAATCATTTTGAGGAATTTGCAAATAGAATTAAACAAAAATATTTTTTACCGGAAGAAGAAAGAGAAAATATACAATTATTAGCTAGTTATTGGACACAAACCCAGCTTAAGATTGAATTGAAAAACAAGCAAAAATAATTTCTGAAATGTTTTTATTTACAAAATTTTTATTTATTTTTTATAACCTCTTAAGAGGGCCATATTATTTGTATTTATAACTAAAAATAGATATATTTTTTATCCAAATATAATTTTTTAAAAAATATTTTATGATTAAATAACCAACCAGTTACCCTTTAACTTTAAAATATGTAACTTTAATTTATTTTAATTTCAAATTACTTTTTAAAGTGTGAACTTTTGATCCACAAACCACCTAGATCAAATTTATTTACTTGATTTAGTTCCAAGTTTAACCGACTTTTCGGAGTCCAAAAGTCGGGGTTGTGTTTGACAAAAAAACAAAATTTGACTAACCAAAATTATTATAGTTTCTTAGAAATAAAACAGTTGTTAGTCCCATCCTAATTAACTTGTCGGTATTTGACTAAAACCTAAATATGGTGTCTAAGAATCGGATTAACATACCAGTAGTGATTAATCCTGGACTACCTTTTATTAATTTAATTTGCAAAAATATTTTTTTGCACTTTTATTATTTTGTGCCAAAGCATTTATAAATTCTTAGAAATAAAACAAACATACTAATTTATTCACAAAAAAATAAAAATTTTAGAAATAATCACCTGTTTGCCCACAATTTTTAACAAAAATTATAAGATATATCGTAGAAAGTTTACAAAGACAATAATTAAATTTACTTTTTAAATATTTTAGAATGTTGTGTTATATAAAATTTTAGGCAAAGAAATTTTTGATGACGATAGCTGCCGTGCTGTAAAACAACAATATTTTTATGTAATCTTAGCATAGTGGTAATTAAATAACGTCACTAATTTGCTTAGAAATCTGATAGTAAAAATTACAATAATTTTATTTTCTTAAAAACCCCTCTACAAAATCCTTTATTCTTCACATCTAATTTCAATAATCCCGTTGATTTTATTAGTTTAAAATAGGGTTGAGCCCCGAATGCTCAGGGCGGGTATGTCTAGGTACGGGGTTTTCGAATTGTTTCGGGGCGGGGTTCGGGTCGGGGGAGCAAAATATAATCGGAGTTCGGGTCGGGATACGGGGGTTTAATGGAAAATTTTTATCACAATGCGAGGGGAATTATTTTTTCAACTGAGGACGTGAATGGGGAACTTTTTGGTGGGGAGTATATTTGGCGAGTTCTGTTAACTTTCAGACTTCTTAAATAAAATAATATTTAATTATTTTATTAAAATTATGGAATTATATTTATTTCGACAAGAACGTTGGCAAGAACTCTATAATTGTAGTAAAATAAATATTTCTGATGTTCCTCTAGAAGAAAGATATCATCCGATAAATGGAACTATTATTATTTTATTATTTATTTTATTTGAGGTTATTTTAAATATTTTAAGTATTTACTTAAATAAATTTTAAAAAATTATTTAATTGGGGAAATTAGAAAAAAATGTAGGTTCTAGTTCGAACCGAAATAAATTCGGTTCATTCGTAAACATGAATGACTACCACAAGTAGAATTATGTGTTTAATTAATCTAAAAACTTAAAGGCTTTTTTATAATTTGTTAAAAAATTAACATTCTACGAATATTTTTGTTTATTCTCGTAAGGTTTCCGAAATTATCACTATCGACTCGAAAAATACCATTTGCCAAAACCAAAAGGCATGGATTTAAAATTTCAAATCCATAAAAGATGGAGCAAGCATAGCCATCTGTAACTGTGGATTACTGCTGCCTAAAAATTTTTTCGATTGTGGGCTTTTAAATCGGAGTTACGCTCCATTAGCGTAGTCAATAGACCATTTGACATTAGGGTTAGCGGATCTTGGGAAATTCCGAATAACTAATATTTTAATCAAGCTTAGCAATAGCTGCCAGGAACTGGGAATTTAATACCTGCCTGGTTGCTAAACTTTTTATTAAAACTCTTGAACGAACATAAATTAAAGTTAAGTAATTTTTTTGAAGATTTTATATACCCCGTGTGTTTATTCAATTTATAAACACAAAGAATTATCATGTTATAAATTCTTATTTTTTATTGGAATTGTTGATATGGCTATGCTATTTCTTCATGGTTTAGCTACAGGAATTTATTGTTTTACCAGCGAAATGTTTTGTTCACATCCAGATTTAACTTTTATTTTAGGCACCCTCGCAACGGGTAAATTTTAACAAAATAAAAAAAATTAAATTTTTGAAGGTTTATATTGTATGCAAACTTGTGCTAATATTTTTCTTGCTTTGGATCGTTGTGCAGATTCTTTTTCGACAAAAATTTCGAATTTTTTCTTTTTGGGTACTGATTTGTTTTTTCTCCGATGCTTCTAGAGTCCATTAATGACTCTTAGAGAAGCTTGTTTTTTTTTCCAAGGATAAATTTTTTGAATGAAAAATAGGGAAGTGAAGCACTTGAGTGATTTGATGATTTGATTTGATTGATTTGATTTGATTTCATGATTTTTTTTTATTTTTTTTATTTTTTTTTTATTTTTTTTTTTATTTCATTCACATGATTTCACTGGGGTAGAGTTACTTCATTAAATGAAATTATGATCCAATTTTTATATTCCTCAAAATTATCCGCATGTTTAATGTTTTAATTTTAAGGGCCACGTACTTGGATGTGGATATTTTGTTCTTTTCTTTTTGGCATTTATAATTTTTTGTTTATTAGTCCAGGTCTTTATAATGGAATTTATATGAATTGGTTTGAAAATCCGTAAATTTATTTTTAAATTTATTTAAAAATTATTCTTTAAAGATACTTTGGTTATTCAATTAAAATTAATTTAAATGAGGTATTTTAATTTAAAAATTATTTTTATTTTAAATTTAAAGTATGTTAATTTTGTTAATCTTTGGTATGATCTATTTTTTGCTTTTGGCTTCCCAGCAATTTATATATTTTTTATTGTTATGTTTTGTATTCAATTAAAGGAAATTAAGGCTATTGCAAATATTGAACAAAGAAAATTGAAAATAACGGTAAAAATACATACATATGTAAAGTTATAGTTAAATAGGGGCCCTACGTATTTACGAATGAGGAATTGAAGGTGGAAGATGCATGAATGATTCCCAGAGGTGCTAGAGCTAAGTAGGGTTAATCGTTCGGTATACCTCTTGATTGAGCACTAGGCTGATCGAGCTATTGGAGAGAATCTCTCACGATGGGCGAGCAAATGTGATTTCCCAATCTCTCTTGCTTTTGTCCAGGTCTTCAACATTCCCCTTTGCCCCCGCAACCATCATGAATTTTTATCTCCGAGGCAACTTTGCCCCCACAATCAAGTTCTTAAAGCAATCAAAATTTAATTTAAAGGTATTTGTCCAAATTGCTATGATAGTTGGACTAAATATCCCTTCAAGTCTTATCTTTGTTATAATGCAACATTTACCCTTACATAAAATAATGGTATTATTTGGATATTATGTTAATTATTTTGTTTTTGGTATTTGAATTAATTAATTGTTTTAATAAATAAATTTCCTAAAGGATTTCCTCCATTAATTTACCTAACTTGTAATAAAACAATTAGAACAGATGCGAGGAAATTATTAAAGAAAACAAAAGGATTAATATTTAAAATAAAAATAAATCCTGCTAATAGTAATAACACCATTCTTCATTAATTAAAATATTTTTTAAAATGATTGTTTATCAAAAAATGGAGTGCCCATCTATCCTGATCCATCTAGTTAAACAAAAGATAGTGTCTAGGCTTTTTTGGAACGGACTTTATAGTATATGTTTGAAGCATTAATTTAATGAAGTGTCAGAGCGAAAAGATTAAACGCTTCATTAAATTAACCTAATAATTTATTTAAAAAATTATTTCAGACGATACCAAAAATATTTTAAAAAATGTGAGAAAAGAAAAAAATTTATTCCAATTAAAGAAGTCTGTAAATAATTTAATTAAAATTTTGACCCTATCCCAAAACAAGGGCGGAATCGTTTTTTTCATTGCCTGAAAGGAAAGGAAAAATTGAAAGGAAAATTGGAGAAAATGGGAAGGAAAAATGGAGACGAAAGGACTCACGGACAGACTCGGGTCAGACCAAATACGGACATCTGTCCGAGTCCGTCCGAGTTTTATATGTTCGAGCCCTTTCGTCTCCATTTTTCCTTCACATTTTTCTCCATTTTTCCTTTCAATTTTTCCTTTCCTTTCAGGCAATGAAAAAAAACGATTCCGCCCTTGTTTTGGGATAGGGTTCCGCCCTTGTTTTGGGATAGGGCCAAATTTTTGTGAAAAATTATTTGAGGTAATTAATTATTAATAAAGAAAAGTTAAAGAAATATAAAATTGTATTAATGTGGAACATTGACAGATAAAAAATAATTTTTAAAGAAAAATTTTGGAAAAAAATTATTTTTGGTATTTTGCTAAATAAGGTTGAATGAATATTATAAAAAATTAAGAAAAAGGTAAATGACATGAAAGGAAAGTATTTATCAATGTGGATAGAAAGGCTTAAAAAGATATTAAAAAAAGATTTAAATTAATTAAACAGTAAATGCTCTAATTAAAGCACATGTGCTTCTTCTATTTTTCGATCTCCTCGTAGGGTGTGCTTATATTATGTGTGTGCTTCTAATAAAGAGTGTGATTCTATTAGAGCATTTACGGTATATTAGCAATCATAATTTCATAAAGTAACGTATTCCGCACTTTAATACCGAAAGAGACCGATAAATAGGGGTAAACTTAAAAATTATGCCGTACCGTAATACCGACACGAATACTGATAAATACCAAAAAAATATCGTCAGGATTACGGTTCGGGAACTAATAAATATGTATACCCGAAAAAATATAAAAAGAAATTTTGGTACTTATTTAGTTTCTCTCCCCCAGTCAATTTTTTCGATAAATATGTAAAAAAATGTTCAGTCTGTCAAAGGTTGTAGAACTCGTCGAACTATGTCGAATGACACTAAAATCAAAAAATCCGACCTGATTTGACCGAGATATAGATCCATGAAAATTGAAAAACCATAGGGTGATTTTTTTAAATAATAAAAGTTTATACAAATAAAGCTCATTCAAAAGAGCTCGTCGAGCTGAGTCGAATAATACCAAAATCACCGTAATTAGGAGTGGTTTAACTAAGTTATGAACTTAAGTAGACCTATCGGAGTCGGCGACCTATGCCATAACTTTTTGTCAAATCATGTCCAATCCCGTTGATTTTGGTGTCATTCGACAAAGTTCGACGAGTTCTACAACCTTTGACAGACTGAACATTTTTTATATATTTATCGAAAAAATTTACTGGGGGAGGGAAACTAAATAAGTACCGAAATTTTTTCTGTTTCCCAAAAATTTATTTAAATTTCTTTTAACTATAATTGCTTTGTGGATTAATTACTGCTGGGACATTGCTGAATTTTAAATCTCTACATTGAGCAAATTTTATAGGTGGTTCTCCAGCTAGGTTTTCAGTTTTAATTGTATCAAAGACGCTTGATTTTAATTGACTGATTTTTGCTTGAAGCGAATTTTTAATGTTTATATTCTTAAATTCCTGAAAATAAAAAAAAAGAAATACCGTATTTCCTAAAATAGTACGGCCTGCTAAATTAGTACGGCCCCCTGAAATAGTACGGCCCTTTGGAAGAGGGTTGAAAAATAGTACGGCCCTCTGAAATAGTACGGCCCTTTGGAAGAGGGTTGAAAAATAGTACGGCCCCCTAAATTAGTACGGCCCCTAAAATAGTACGGCCCCATTTAAAAAATATAAAAATAGACAAAATTTCATTTTCTAATCATAGTCATTATTCCTCGCAATATTTAATTAATTTATTGAATCTTAATATCTATTGGTATAGAAATAGGAGTGCTTAAGAGGATATCGGGGGATTAATGGGGATTTTATCGGATTTGGAAGGATATTTATGGACTTGGAGCGATTTAAGTATGGATGAATTTAAAAGGATTAGTTGGAATCAAGATGATTAACGAATAGTTTATAGGGTTCCGTGACTTTTGCGCCGAGAACATTTGCGCTATCATTAAAAATTTTTTATATTATCGGTCGGACCTCTCTATAGTAGGGTTGTCGGATAGATGAATCAGGCCCAGGCCTAATTCATCATTTATAGTCCAGACCTAATTCATCAGCTACCGAACCTCTATTGTACTTACTGAACTTCCTTCATTCCTGGATACCATTTTTACCCCAAGGGGTACACTATAGTGAGGCTAAGATAAGATAAACTGGTGATGTAAAGAATATTTTATATTATACATTGAAGAATATGAAATATTTAAGAGAGATATGAAGATATGAAAGGTTCATGAGAGGTTCCCCATCGTTCTTGATTATGGACAGCACCATAATTTTTCTACTCTCATAATACCTCGAAATTAAAAAACTCTAAGCTAATGATACCGATACCGGCTCGGGATCGGGATTTAAAAATCGGTATCGGTATTTTCTAAAAAATTTTAATATGAGCAGAAATTAAATAAATTTATTTTCAAATTCAAAGATCTTAATAATAATAAACCGCTGAACCCTAACCTTGCCTATCCACAAAACACAAAGTAGACAGATGCGCATGGCGCTCTACAAAACGCTCTACAAAATGCTTGATACAGATGTCATTATAGACGGGTCTTAAATAATTTTTAAATTCTGCTAATTTCATGTTTGGAACAAGCTTTTGATTTGGGATAATTTCCGAGCATACTATTGTGGATACTATAAAAAAATTTAAACAAAAAAGATTCAGATAATTTTGAAAAAGGGTTGAAATATAGTGCGGCCCCCTAAATTAGTACGGCCCCCTGAAATAGTACGGCCCTTTGGAAGAGGGTTGAAAAATAGTACGGCCGGCCGTACTATTTTAGGAAATACGGTAATTAAATTATTAGATTGTTCGGAGGATCTTTGTTTTTATTAAAATAAACTACAGTGCGGTGCATATGTTTACGGACACTATAAAATTCTTTCTAAATTCTTCATTTTTTATTCAAAATATTTTTCAATATAGCAATCGAAAGCTCTATTTGTATCTCAGTTGACATGTTTCTTCATTTTTCGTGAAAATAAAAACTGGCCGAGATAATCCGGATCTACCGGATATACCAAATCCTATAGCCCCGGAAAAATTTTTCGGAAAAAATTTAACAAGCTCATTTGATAAAGCATATTTTTGTGAGTATTTACCTCAAAACCGCTTAGAGATACCTATTTCTGGACCAGAGATATGATTTTTTGAAAATGGCATTTTTCCTTTAAAAATTGAATTTTTTGCAAAAATAGGCGAAAAAACCATTTTTAAAAAATCATATCTCTGGTACGGAAAAAGGTATCTCTAAGCGGTTTATTAAAATAAACTAGGTATGTATATTTCAAACAAAAAAACTCACAAAACCACTATGCATATTTTCTTGAGTTCCATCAATTTCAATACAACCAGAAGCGTGGTTTGTGTCTATTTGATCTATACTCACATCATTTATTTTTATATCAGTAAAGACTGTCGGAATATCTGCTGGAGGGAAGTTACCCATGTCACCATCAGCATATTTTAATGAAAATTCTAGTGGATATCCGTTAATATTATTTCCAGACAAAGTTTTGCCATTATATGTAAATGAATTTGTTGTTCCAATTCCTTTCATTCCAATATTTCTAATACAAACTCTTCTAACGCCTCCACCTATTTCTTTTTTTGATTTCATTCGAATACCATTATCAGTCATAAGGTGGATATTATTCTTAAAATAATTTTTTAATTACTTTAAGCATATTCGAAATTGGAAAAGTTAAGTTCACTCGGGTTGCCCACTACCGGCTTTTTAGATTTTAAAAACTCGGGTTTTGGTTTGATTTTTAGTAGTTAAATACCTCTTTTATTTTGGGGAGATTTTAAAAAAATGAACCTATCCCAAAACAAGGGCGGAATATTTTTCATTACCTGCTAGGAAAGGAAAAATGGAGACGAACGGACTCGGACAGACCAAACACGGACGGACTGGTCAGACAAGGCACGGACGGGCTCGGACAGACGTCCGTATTTGGTCTGACCTGAGTCCGTCTGTGTTTTGTCTGTCCGTGTTTTGTTTGTCCGTGTTTTGTCTGTCCGTGTTTTGTTTGTCCGTGTCCATCCGTCTCATTTTTTTTCATTTTTCTCGATTTTTCCTTTCCTTGCAGGTAATGAAAAAAACGATTCCGCCCTTGTTTTGGGATAGGGCCAAAAAACTTATTTTCAAAAATTTTCGACTTTTAAAATTTCATAAAAACAGTCAATTTTTGCCAGCCAAAAATTGACTAAATTTTCGATTTTAAAGCCGGACGTAAATAATTTAGCGAACATTCATTATTAAGGAAATGAATACTAGCATCGCATATAGTAATAATTATTAAGGAAATGAATGTACGCTAAATAAGAACTTCATTCTTTTCCTTTTTGCATTCAAAGTTTGTCAGTTTTGGCAGGCCGAAACTTGCGAACCCGACGAATTTCTCAAAACATAGCTCATTCGAAAGAGCTCGACGAGTTGAGTCGAATGACATCAAAATCATCGTGATTGTACAAGCTTGGACAAAGTTACGATAGAAAAACAAAAACCTAAACTATGGTCCGCAAAAGTCGGTCCGCAAGTTTCGCACTACCTCAGTTTTATCCGCAAATGCAAGAGATTTCCTTTTTCATTTTATTAAGGAAATGAGTGAGTTTGTCCCCGTCACTCTATAACTCTAGAATTTTTTTACCTCAATAAGGACATCTTGTACCCAATCTCCAAGATTGCCACCAAAAGAACATCCATGTGCGTGTCGGAAATAGTTATTCCTAATAACAACAAATTCTACAGGCGGAGAATTAGATCTTTTTCCCTGTCCAGTACCCATTGCTATAGCATCATCTCCAGTTTCATAAAAATTACTTAAGATTTGAATATTACTAACATCGCCTAGATCCATTCCATCGCCATTATTTATATCAAAAGTAGTAAAACGAGTATTAATCACAGACTGCAAAAAATGATTTTTTATAAATATTTGACTTAGTTCATTTATCCCACGGAAAATAAAGTGGGTTTCATTCAATCCTGTTCATCAATCTCTACAAAACAAGGTCACGCCAAAGCCACTTTGCAATTTTTAATAAATTTAATTCCTTATTATTATGCAACTTTTGACCATTTTGTAATATTTTGAAAAAAAAAAGAGAAAAGAAAATGAGGTCGACTAACTCAAATACATCTACCGTATTCTCTCGGTTAATTCCCCTCTCTCGAGTAATTCCCCATGTTAGAGTTGGGTTGAAACAATAATTCTCCACCCCCAAATACCCTAATTCACGTTCAAATGCCAAAACTCGAATAATTCCCCTCCCTCGATTAATTCCCCATGCCAATGAAGGATGAAAAATAATTCCCCAGGGGAATTAATCGAGAAAATACGTTAAGTATTATTTTAAATATAATTATGAAAATCCATTGGACTCATAAAATTGACTCAAATATTTTTATTTAAAATCTATAAATTACTACATACAACATTACGACTATTTCCAATAGCCATAGTAATCATAGATGGATTTCGAAGGGTTAGGTTGCTGCCTCCAATATGTAAATTTGTAATTCCAAGTAATAATAGTAATGTAGAACGTGCACTCCCATATTTGTCTTTACTTGTTACTTGACTTGCAGCTAAAACCCCATATTGTTTAACTGTTTGTGCTGATCCTTGAACATAATGAGGTAAAGGATTTCCAATTTCATCTATTATTGTAGTGTCTTTTTTCCATCCATTACCATCAATAGTACCACCACTACTAACAATTCGAATATTTTGAGAATGCAATTGATCCTTTAAATAAAATAAAATTTTTAAAATATATTCTTAAAAAGAAGGATTTTCTGTGGACTTTTTTGATTTGTAAATGTCCAGATTTTCTTTTTAAATCAACAAAAAACTTGTCGCATTTTGCGAAGTTTAAATGAATTATTTTTTCCCACATCTTTTAAAAGATGTCCATACAGATAACAATCCTTATAAAAGCTTTAATAAACTTCCTATTTTCACATTCCTTTCCTTTCCTATACTTAATCATTCGCTCTCTTAGGATTTCTTTTAACTGCTCTTTAGCCTGATTCTCCGATCACTTATATATTTGTTTGAATAGAGGTTTTTAATTTGTTAAAGTGTTAGACTTTACTGAGCCTAGGGTTTTACTTCGGAATATATTTTTTTTTCCGACAAACTCACAATAACGTTAATTAAAGCTGAAGGCATATTTAATCTCGGAATCATTGGATAATCATTACTGTTTGGGGAACCTAGCAAGACAGCTCCAGATGCCAATTCCAAAGTCATATTTGATTTTAAAATTAAACTTCCAGTTAGGAAAGTTCCTCTGGGGATTCTAATTTTACAGTCATATGAAGACAGAGAACCAGTGGCACAGCTATCTATTGCATCTTGTATTGCTTTTGTATTCATTGTTTTTCCATCACCTACAGCTCCCACTTTTGATATGTCCACAATCTATTTTAAAATACTAATTATTGTCTTTTATCATTTTTCAAAGTCGATTGGACCTAATATTTATAGATACCCTTGGGGTTATAATGTAAAGCATATAGCTATTATTTCCTAAGGCTATGCAGTAGGCGGCGTGGTGTAATGGCTAACACATCAGTCCGGTCTACTGAACGTGCTGGTTTGCTCCCAGCCGCCGAATAACCTTTTGCACTAGCTAAAGGAGAGAAATAGCTAGTATAGCCCAGCTGCTTTACTATAGATACACCAGTAGCTAACTTAATTAAAAATAAAGCCTAAATTTTGATGTAGCTATTATTGGGTGTTTATAAAATTGTGATCCGAAAAATTAAAAAAAAATTTCCCTATACCTTTCTATAATTAGTTGGTGTAGTTACAACTAATGGTTTACTATCTTCAGATTCTTCCCCATTAGAAAGAACAGATCGAACAGTAAATGTATATTTTGTTCTAGGCTTTAATCCTTTAACCCAAAAAGTATTAAAAAGAATTTTTGGATAAAATCCTGGCTCATCTTTGAGAAAAGTATCAAAATATCTTCCAACAACACTATTTTGCATTGAATTAGTTTTAGAATTTCCAAGCAGCTAAAAAATTAATTTTTACTAATTAAATTTCTAGTTATTATCCAGTCTATGTGTCCAATCAAATTTTATCAAGGTACGTGAAAGATAAGGCCAAAACATTAAGATGTATTTACAGAGAACTCAAAGTAACTTTGAATTGAGCTGACTTTGAATGAAAGTAAAGTGTTATCGGTAAAGTAGATCTTATAGATCTATATGTAGATCAGGGGTGTGCCGAAAGTGATTTTAAAAGGCGAAAGTCGATTTAAAAAGCGAACGGCGAAAGGCAAAAGACGAAAGTCCAAAAAAGGCGAAAATCGGCGAAAGACGAAAGGCGAAACTCGCACACCCCTGCTATAGATCTTGCTTTTAATTCTAAAAATTAAAATGGTAAATATTTCCAGGTATAAACTAGCTAGTACAGGTATATGAACGTGAGCTCCGGAACAAATTTTAAAATCATAAAAGTTGATTGTATCTATAAACTGAACATTCCAAATTTCCCTGAAAAAACCTGTCCATCCTTATAAACATTATAGCCAACAACATCATCAGCAACATCTGGTTGAGTCCAAGTCAAAAAAACTTTACTAGGTTCATATGCAAGAATAGGAACACACACAGCTTGAGGAACATTAGTTCCAGTTCCAAAACCCGAACAGGAACTGTCCACGTCCGAATTTGAACAAAATGGGCTATCTGAACCTTCAGTTGGTGGAGCATCAGCAGGAGAAGGTGGAGAATTATCTCCTTGGTCTTAAAAATTTTTTTAATAAAAATTTTATATTTCTGAAAGTTGAGTATTTGTTAATTTGTTATATATTTTTTGACCTTGTTCGGTGGTTGTATATCCCTCACCTAAGAATAAAAATTGGAATTTATAAAATTTTGTTATATATTTTTTGGCTAAAACTATTTTTGATTAAAAGAAGAAAAAAATTCCAAAAAAACGAATAATTTCTAAAAATTATCATCAAAAATAAACTAAAATATCCAAATAGAAAATCTAAACAAAATTTGAATTTTGTTTTAAACGTCCTAACTTTGTTGAGACGCTGTACAAGGCACTACGTGTAGTGTACCGGGGTAAAAGTTTGGGACGTGGCATGTCATTCGATTGGTCTCGACGAGCTGAGTCGAACGGTACCACTCCCAATTTTAGGAAGTGATTCTGGACCGAGTTATAGGTCCCGAAATATTGAAAAACCATGGGGGAGTAGGGTCGATTTTGGTAGTATATAACTCAATCAAGAATCATTTTCTGAAATTGTGAGTGGTACCGTTCGACTCAGCTCGTCGAGACGAATCGAATGACATGCCACGTCCCAAACTTTTACCTCGGTACACTACATTACAGCCGAAAGAAAAAAGGGGAACACAAACTTAACTATTACCGGTACTACATACTCCCTCACCTAAGATATAATTAAATAATTATTTATTTAAACTTTCTAAAAATAGTTTTTAAAATAATTTTTAGAAAAAAATATAATTTAAATTTACTTGTATTATCACCATCCCCATTAATATTTTTTAATAAAAAAATTAATAAAATATTATAAAAAATTAATAAAATATTTAATAAAAAAACTTTTTTCATTTTTTAAAATTTTCTTTTCAATGAGGAAGGAAAAAATTATAAATAATTTTTAATGTTTGAGTGAATGAAGAAATAAATTAAAATACTTCCGCTTATATTAAAACTTAAAATATAGCTTAATAATTTATAAAATTATCCAAAAAAATTTTTCAGGTGATTAAATTTTATTTAAAATAAAAAAATTTAAAAAATCCAAAAAGGAACTAAATTTAAACTTAAATAATTGCGTCATTTAAATAAAATATTTTATTTAAAATTTTATATATATACTTATAATGATTTTTTTATTTCCTAGTAACTATCCACGCTTGAATTTTGTTGTCAATATTCAAACAAAAATTTAATAGACTTGTTGTGGATTGTACCAAAAATTTAATTAAGGTTCTGCCCGTCAAGGAAATACAGGTGCCTGTCAAGGACATGGAAGAAAATCCGGAAGAGGTTGAACTTGAGAGAAGAAACACTAGAAAGAAGAAAAGATGGTATTGCGATCTTATCGGCCAATCTTTTACATTAATAATTTTAATATATAATGCTTTATGTTTTTCCCAGCTTTTGACTTTTACACTTCCATATACATATTTTTTAAATAAAATAAAAATTTTTCTTCTTTTAAAATAAATAAAATTATTTTATAATAATTAATAATATAGTAAGGTAGAGGTTTAAATCGCCCAGTCCACGGCCCTTTTAAATCTTTAAATTATAAAGAATAATTTGGTGATATTTAGGCGAATTGTTCATCTTTCAATAGACTTCCTTTTTTATATAGTATATTTCAGACCTGGTCACGGATACTAATTTTGATATCCGTATCCGGATATTTAAGGCGGATACAGGCGGATATCCGCATGCATACTGGCGTTATCTGTATCCATATCCGTATCCATGACCAGGTCTGGTATATTTTAAATTTATTAGCTAGTAAATAAAATTAATTTTTATTTTTAATTTTAATATCAATGAATACTACTATTTTATAAATTATTTGGATATCCAAAACTTAATCAGAAAATTAAAAACTCGGTTCCATAAAGTTTGAATCCTATTTTCTGTTATAGATGGTTTTATGTTTTTAGAGCATCTTCAATGCGAATTAGGAATTTCGAAAACCAATTGTTAAAAAGTATTACGAACTAGGGCGGAATAAAACAGGGATGTGCCGAGCACTTTCGCGCTTTTGCCGAATTTTTGCCTTTTTTGGTATTTATCTTTCATCTTTCACTGTTATTTTAACTTTTGCATTTAGGCCAATCGTCATTCACATTTTTAAATCACTTTCGCATTTTTATCATTAGTATTTGACAAGTTATCAGCAAACTTTCGCGTTTCGCGCAAAACGCGAAATGCGAAAGTCTGCTGATAAAAGCAAATTATAATAGATAAAAATGCAAAAGTGATTTAAAAATGTGATTGACGATGTGCTAAATGCTTAAGTTAAAATAACAGGGAAAGATGAAAGATAAATACCAAAAAAGGCAAAAATTCGGCAAAAGCGCGAAAGTGCTCGGCACATCCCTGGAATAAAAGTTCGTTCCTAAAAAACATAGACACCAGGGGTGGCGCAAGTGCCACATTATACGAGACAAGAGATTCACGAGATACGATATTCTAAAAAATACGAGAACGAGATACGATATCTTTCAAAAAACACGAGATTTCACGAGATACGAGACGAGCGCCACCCCTGCTAGACACTATCCTTTGTCAGCATGGATGGATCAAGACGGATGGACACCCCATTTTTTGTAAATTTTTCATAACTTTTGATAAAATTATTTGTTTGCTAAAAATTTTTACTCGAAGTTGATTTTTGATGCTGAATCAACCTAGAAAAAAGATTATAAAAATCAAACAATCGTAGCTCGGCTTATCCAAAAAATTTGTGGGTGTCTAGGTTTTTGGAACGGACTTTATATGTGTAAGATGATTAATCAAGGATGGGCAGATTTTCGCTATTTTAGCCTCTTTGTTTCAGAGAAGTTTTGTAATTTGTTTTTTTGTTTTTTAAGAAAAAATCTACATTAATTATCAACAATCAACCCATATATGTATGTACCTAGACTGTGACTTTTCCAACAAAGAAATTGATTTCTCTAGCTGATAAATACAAATAAATTAAAAGGAAAAAAATATTTTAGCAAATATTTATGTAAAAGTAATGTAAATTTACCTTCTTTTTAAAGAAAAAAAATTTATTTCCTATTGATCTTGAATATTTTTATTAAAACTAACAGCTTCTGATAACTAAATTAATAAATATTATCAATTTTTATTAAATTAAAAATCAAAATTTTTATTTTCCAAAAATGCTTCTTTTTGTTTATGGAACATTACGTCGCGGTTTTAACAACAAAAATTCTGAAAAATTAAATTGTATATCTAAATGGATGGGTAAAGCTATTGTTCCAAATGCAAAATTATATTACATAAAGGGGGATGAATTTGATTATCCAGCTATGGTTTTAAATTATAATGATGGAATATACAATGATGAGGATGAAATTAAACAAGTAGATAATTTTTATTTGAATTTTATATTTTATGAATATATAGGTAAACCTATAGGAGGGTTGGCTGATCAGGCTTCCGGGTCCGAGAAGGTCCGGATATCCGGAAATTTCGGTTATGATGAATTTAAATTTTATTTTACCAATTCAGAAAGGTCACCTATTTAGCTCCGTAGATAAAAAACCAGACCTGCTCACGGATACTGATTTTGGTATCCATATCCTTGATATTTACGGCAGATACAAGCGGATACAGCGGATATCTACAGGCATTTTGATATTATCTGCATCCATATCCGTATCCATGAGCATGTCTGCAAAAAACTAAAAAATAATGAGAATTTTACAATTTGTAAAATTTTTAATAAGTTCTTAATAAATTTAATCGGTTTATGATAAAATAATAAAAATCCACAGATCTTCATTTTGATTTTTTAAATACCTATTTGGTTAAATATTCTTTTGTTCAGTATTTATAATTCTTGCTAATAAAGTTGTATATCTCGTCCCAAAAAGTCAAGTCGGAATATTTGGCCTTTTTGGCAATTCCCAATTCAAAAATCTCCCCCTTATTTAAAACATAGTTTCAATTAATATTTAATTCCAGACTTGTTCAACTACCTCTGTAAAGGGAGATGTCTTTCAATTACTCGATCCAGAATCAACTTTTGTTTGGTTAGATGAATATGAAGAATGTGGACCAGAAAGCCCTCAACCAACCGAATATTTAAGAAAACAAATAAAAGTTAAGTTAGTTGAGGATGGAAATGGAATGGAAATTGTTGAAAATTGTTGGATAAGTGTAAATACTTATATTTGGAATTGGCCTGTAAAGAATGAAAATGGGGATTTAATTGCGCCTGTTGTTGAATGTATTGAAAGTGGAGATTGGTTATTACATACGAATAATAAAAATGAATTATTTTTTTAATTGCGGAACGGCGATGGGACTTGATCCTAAGAGCTCTCCGATGGAAGATTGTGAACCTCTCTAGTATCCCAGCACTAACTTTTCGTTTTCATTTTTACTTTAACTGTTAGGCTGTGAGTAGGGTTGATAGACCTAACAAAGTCTGGATATCTGGAAGTTTTCGGTTCGGATGTAGAACGCGGATATCCGCGAAGTTCCAAGGATCACCCAAGCCTAGCTGGGAGGAATCTTTACCGGTTTTACACTAAACTACGTATAATACCTAAAAATATTTTTTATTTAGAATATTCTCTATCTACATATTTTAATTTATTTCTAAATTAATAGCAAAACTGAAGGGGGATGAATGCATATTTTTAGTTAATGATGATTAATACATAAACAACTTACTTTTTGTTATTTCTATATTTTTCACAAAACGTATTTATTTTAATTTAGTTTTCTATTTTTGATTTATTTATAATGAGAGTTGTCCGCGACCAATTTTGAAACTGAAAATTTAGAAAATTTAGGTAAAGTCCACTAAAACTAAAAAAATGATTTGGAATATTGTCCGTCTTTTGAAAAATTTTCTAAAATAAAACTAATAATATTTGGCCTTGAAAAAATTCGAAAACTGAGTTAAACATCAAAGTAAATCAAGGATATTTTCAGCCATGTTCAAGTTTCCCCTCATATACGGTCAGATACGGATATCATTTTCATACGTCCCGGATCAGGGGTGGGCGCATTGCATTTTTAACGATTGCCACTTGCGCCCACCCCTGTCCCGGATACCTCATCTCTTATCCGGTTTTAGATAACAAAATCTGCAATCGTAACCTTGTTTGTACAGCAGGAATGGGGCAATTTACCCGAAACCTGCGCTTTTTTCAACCTGAAACCGGACACAATTTTTCTCAACCCCCCATTCTTGTTGTATAATGGGTTGTTAGATAATTAATGAGCCCTTTGCGCATAATTGAAACAATTTACTATAACTAAATAATAAAATGAAATCAAGAAACAATCTAATGCCCATTATTATCTATCACATCTTGTCACATGCTGGGAGGTTTTTTAATTCCCCTTTGATAAAATCTAGTGGCTTATTTAGTATCAAGAAATTTGGCAACCCAATTTGAGGGTTGGGCATCATTTTGGAAGCTCACATCTCGCACATGATTTTTTATCGAACGGAATAAGTGGTAATCAGATGGCACAATATCCGGAGAATAAGTCGGATGAACTAAAAGTTCCCATCCGAGTGTCCCCGTGATGTAGGCTCGAGTTGCGTTCGCGCGATGCAGGGTTGCATTTTCCTGTTGAAAGACAACTTTATCATAACGAACTCCGCAAGCAGTGAAACCATCGATGGAAATATGAACTATGTCCAATATTGTTCTGTAGAGTTAGTCCGGCAATCCTTTGCCCTTAGGAGCTAAGTCCCAGTGTAAAACCCCAAATTTAGCCTAAATTTGGGGTTTTTGGCTTCTAGGCCTATATCTCCATCACGGAATTTTTTGTAACGTCGCTTAATTGATGCAAAAGATGCCCAACTTGTGCCCTTCAAGGCGGCATATTCTTTTTTGGATTGAGTTCTACCTAGACCGAGTTTGAAGCAATACAAAATAACAGTCCGAATTTCAGATTTTGAGGACATAATTTAAAAAATTTTTAAAAAACTGCAAAAATCAAAATTTATTTTTTAAATGGTTCTGGCTAGTAGAAAAAAGCGTGAACTATCGACTCTAGTAAATTTAAAATAATTTTAACTAAAATTCGAATACCTATACATAAAAAAAGACTAAAAATGCGAAAAGGGCTCATTATTTAACTAACAACCCATTATTTTAATAATCATTTGTTACAGCTGCACTTTTTAAAGCTACAATCTTCACAAATGAGTAATTTCCTCCAACCCAAAGATATTTTTAAAATTCATAAAATATCATCAACTACATCATCTTCACCTTTTCAACTCAAAAAATTATTTCTTAAACCTCGTATTTGGGGATTTTTGATTATTATTTTATTAATTTTATTAATTATTTTATATTCTTATAAAATAGAAAATTCGTCAAATAATTATGTAAAAATCGACAAATTAAATATTATTCAATTTATTAAAATGGAAGTTAACTCTGAAGGAAATGAGGAGTCGGGAAAGGATAAAAACAAGGGTAATTCTAAAAATATAATTGACAAAAATTAAATAAGTCAGTTCTGCTCTAGGAAGATAAGAATACATACTAAGAAAAATACCTTACGGGGATGAGCCGTAATACACGAAAGCCGTAATCCAGACTTTTCTCGACCCGGCACAAACCTTTTCTACAATCCGGCCATACCTGAAACCTCAGTTAACTCTCGCAAAAAAATTATTTAGCAGGTTTCAGAGTTGGTACGTCCTCCTTGGTCAATTTAATCCAAGGTTAATAATATAAATGTTTCAAACAAAATATTGAAAATGTAAGTAGTTTAATGACCAGACCGTCAAAATTTTTAGAAGAATTTTACAAAAAATTTTATTCAAATTGAAAATTAAAAAACTCTATATAATTATTTAATTTTAGAATACCTACAAAAGAATGATAAAGAGAAGTTTAATCAACAATTAAATGAAGATAAATACAAAGTTTTATATAAATATCAAAAAATTGATAAAAATTTGAATTAAAATAATTTAAAAAAATTAATGTTAAATTATAAATTATCGTTATAAAATTTTATATATGAAATTAAAGGAATAAAAAAGAATTAGAGAATATCTCTTCAGTTTTTTATCATTTTATAATTATACTATGTACATATGTATAAATCTCTCCCTTCCTCATTTTTTCATTCCTCATTTTCTCCCTTCACTTCTCATTTTTTCTCATGTCTTGCATTATTCCCGAAACGAATTCTCGAAGATATTCTTGAACTACTACTCGATCCGTTTTGTGTATGGGACGATGAAGCATAAACATAACCTCTCCCTCCATTAATGTTTTGAAGTGTGTCTTGTTGGGCAATTTGCGTTCCATCTGTGCGAACTTCATTACGTAAAAGCGTTGCTCCATCCCCTCCTGGATGAGTCAATAAATATGCTTCTCGAGTGCCTGGTTGCATGCCTCGAAGATGCTGTGTTCCAACAGTAAACGATGAACGTCTTCCACGTTCAGAGCTTGTAAAAGTGAAATTAACAGAAGGAGGAACTTGATAATTAGCTTCTTCGACAGGAATATCTCTATGATTTTCTACTCCCATGATAGGAACATTGAATGCATCATCTTCTTCAATTATACCAGCTCTTGTACCTCTAGTAGGAAGACCTCTTTGATGATTCCCTCCTCTAATAGGAATGTCTCTTGTACGATTTTCTTCTCCCCTGACAGGAACACTTCTTGGACGATTTCCAGCAGGAATGCCTCTTGGATGATTTCTTTCTCTAATAGGAATATTTCTCGCATGATTTTCCTCTCGCATGACAGGAACATTTATTGTATTATCTTGAACAGGAATAGCCCTTGGATAATCTTCTTCTCTGATTGGAACTCTTGCATCGTCTCCTATGGGAATATTTCTTGCTCTATTAGGGCGACGAGTATCAGTTCCTCTAAAATGGTTTTCTTGATTATTCGCTCGATTGCTATGGTCTTGTTGTTGATTGACATTCACGTTTGTTTGTGGATTTGAACGATTATTATTATTATTATTCGATTCTCTTTCATTCCCTATATTTATTCCATTTCGATTTCCATCACGACGGTCTCTAGCAGCATTAACTGCATTTCGAATTGGTGAACTAGGCCTTGTTCCACGAGAGATGATATTAGCAATATCTTCTTCTTTAAGGTTAAAAAAATTAATTAGCTGATTGTTAAATATACATAATTAAGGAAATTAAAAATGACCAAGAAATTTCAATTTTAGGAGCAGTCAATTTTAGAAGCACTAGATACATACAAAATTTATCATTTTTAGGTTATCTCCCATCCTGCCTAAAAAGTCCCCTCACATCTTACAGAGATATACCAAGAAAATGAGTCGAGGGAGTATGAATCCAATAATAGATACAACCTTTGAATCAGGGCTGGGCGAAATCAAAAAATAAAATGCGAAATGCGAAATGCGAAACTTTTTTTAAAAAAATAAAAAGCGAAATGCGAAATGCGAAACTTTTCGCGCCAAAAAATGCGAAAAATGCGAAAGATGCGAAAGCGAAAGCGAAATTAGTTAAAAATTCTAGAAAACTTTTGGACATGGTATAGTATACCGGAAGCAAAATTTCGATAAGAAACACATAACATTCGATTTGCCTCGGCGAGCTGAGTCGAAAGATACCTCACTCTATTCATGGAACTGCCTGTCAATCGAGATAATGTCCCGAATATCGAAAAAGCATTGCAGGTCGGGATAGATTATTGATATTTCTTCCCTTTTCCTTTAAAAAATTTTACGTCAAAATATCTAAAAAATAAAGAAATACTAAATGAAAAATGCGAAACAAATTTCGCATTTGGACCAAAATGCGAAATGCGAAATGCGAAACTTTTCGCACCAAAAAATGCGAAAAATGCGAAAGATGCGAAAGCGAAAGCGAAAGCGAAAGCGAAAGCGAAGCCCAGTCCTGCTTTGAATGCCTGAGTTACTTAACCCTCTATTTTAATGCAAATCACATCATAAGATAAAAATATTCAGTCCCAAACTATTTAGTCCCAAACTGTATTCTTTCGACTGAATTAAAAAGTAAAAAAATTATATTATTAAATTTTAATAACCAGTAAAATCACGTCCAAAATAATTGACATTACCCTCTGCATCTGTAAATGATCTAAAGGAAGCGAAATTAAGATGGTGATTTTCTGCTCGACGATTAATATTTCCTCCTCGTGGTTGACCTGTATTAGGATTCATTGTAAATATCCAAACAAAATTTAAAAGAAAATTGAATAAAAAGAAGATGGAAGAATTGGACATTCTGGGCACTTTTTAATTTTTTAATAAATTTTTTTTTTGCTTTTAAATTAAATTTTTTTAATTAATTTTAAAAAAATGGATAATTTTAAAAGAAAAAGAAGCATATTTAAATAATAAATTTCTCTTTAAAATTTGCCCAATTCTTTGAATTTTCCTTTTAAAATTTGCCCTTTTACTTTAAAAATATTTTTTTGTTTTATTTTTTATTGGATATATTTCTAAATTAAATTGCCGACAAAACAAAAAAAAATTTTTTATCCCTTCCGGTCTCTAATAAAAGGGCAAATATGACGAAAAGTAAAAGAAAAAGCCGACAAATGCACTATTAGTCAAAAATAATATTTTGTCAATAAGCAATACACATGATTTTTTATTTATTTATTAAAGTGCAACTTTTAAGAAATTTTATTTTTAAATAAAAGTGCAATGAATGACTTAATTTCGCAATTTTAAATAATTTTTATTTATTTTATTTATATGTATAAAAAACATCCAACAAAGGGGGAATCCTCTTACATGTTGGGAACATGTTGAAATTTTTAAATAATTGCCTATCTTCTTTAAATACCCCTTTGGGTGAATAATTACTAAAGTAATTAAATTTATCCATTTCTGAAATTGAAAATTTATTTTTTATATCGACTGAATTATCTGTGTGTGCGAGGGTGTTGGTCCGGGGACTGCTATAGGTCTGATTGTATATACAAATTTATTCTCAAACATGCGCAACTCAATTACTGCTTATTTTAATGAAATTATAATAATAGACTCCCTCCCAACTCATTTTTAAAAAAACTTTTTGCAATTTTAACTTGTTAGGTTAAGGGAATTATTTGACTAATTTACACTTTTCGTATAATCTAGGTATATTAGAATTAGTGGTAGGAATTTTGAAAAAACCGGGTCCGGAAACCAGGAAACGGGTTTATAAAGTTGACCGGGAGGGACATGAGCCGGGAAACCCGGGAATTCCTGTACCCGGTTTCATCCCGGTTTCTTCAAAAAAACCGGGAAAAGGTACCAGAAACCAGGGAAACGGGTCCGGATCCCGGACCTGTATAATCTCTATTAGAATCCCCCATCCGTTGAATGTCCTCCTCTAATGGAATGCCCCTTTTGAAGTTTATTTATTTTTCGTATTATTATCTAAAATCGTCGTTTTCGTGTGTATAAAATTATTATTAACTGGTACACTATGTACATAATTAATTTAATTTTTCTAAAAACTTTTACCAAAAAATTTTCGATGACGTCCAATTATTTTTTCTCTGATTCTTAAATGTAAATAATAATTATTTTACTTTTTATTTCAGAATTATTTCAATATTTAATTAACATTTTTAAAAAAGGGCATATGTTTCAACATTTATTAAGCATTTCTTAGAATTACAAAGAACTATACAGGGTGGGGCATAAGTTCGGCGACAAATGTTTTTAATAAAATCTATACTAAAAAAAATTTATTTAACATAAAAAAATGATAAGATATAATCAATAGGATATAATAATCATTTTATTAAAGTAATTGCTCAAAATGACCGCCCCTGACTGAAATACACGCGTCCAAACGCTTAAGGTTGTGACTCACAATGGTCGCGCATTGTTCATCGGATATTTAGTTCCAGGCCCGCTCAAAACAACTTTCAGTTTTTCCTATGTTGCGTATAGGATTCGGCATACTTTTTGCTACAGAATTGCCCAAATACAATAATCCACGGATTTAAATCCGGTGAGTTTGAAGGCCAGATATCTTTCCCCCAAAAGCCAGGAAACAGCTCCCCACAGAGCTGGATTGTCGTTTTGGCTCCATGCGCGGGTGCCCAATCCTGCTGAAGCGAGAATTGGGTTTCACCGTAAAGCTATAGAGGCCATGGATGCTAAATCCCCTTCAGAATGTCATTTTTTAGACTAGCATTAATTTTTACATTTCATCACTCTGTTGAGGCGACCAGTTGCGACCAAGCGTTTAATCTTTCGGCATTTCTGAAGCAGCTGATGCTTTATTCGATCGTTAAGGAAATTTGTGCGGCTGATCTTGTAGCTCCGAAGTCTAAGCTTCACTCTGACAATATTCGGAGGCTCCTCGATCTCATTTCGAGCTCTGAGGCCATTTTTCGCATCGATTGTTCAGAAAAACGGCGAATTCGGAATCTGACCACGTTCATGTTTTCAGGTGTAACTGCGGTTACTGGCCAGACACTACGGGGGTGGTCCTGAGTATTACCAAGCTCAAGATATCGTTTTATTGCCTTGAAAACTAACATACGACAGATATCGAGCCGTTTAGCGATGTCACATTTTCGAACATTTTCAAAATACAAAGAAATAATAGAAGCATGATTCTTTAACGCTCTGTAAAATTTTTATTTTATGAGATAGGAAAAAATTTTCAAGATGAAATTTGTAGAGCGCGAATCATATGTAGAATATGGGACATCTAAACAAAAAGCAAAATAAAAAGTAAATTTTAAGAAAGGACAAAATAAAATTTGTCGCCGAACTTTTGCCCCACCCTGTATAATTATTTATTATTAAATTAATTTTTTTACTTTCTTTATTAATGAGATTATTTTCTTCTTAATTTTTTAAAAATCACCTGGAAAAATTTTTTTCTAAGAAAATTTTTTTCTAAGAAAATGTATTCATTAATAAATGTCTAAATTACCCATTAAATAAATTACAATTTAAAGAAAAATCAGCTGCTTTTATTAACTTTTATTTAAAATTAATTTTTATTTAATAAAATAAATAATTTAATAAAATGTATAAATTTAATAAATAAATTTAATAAACGAAAATTTTGTGTTTCTGTGAATAATTCTAAAATAAAAAATTCAATTTATTCTATTAAATACATATTTAAAGTTTTTAATTTAGTTTCCGTATTTACTCAAATATTTACCCCCCACCCTTTCCCTATTAAGGGAAAGAATTTCAGCCAGGAATTGAGAAAATATTTACCCTTGAAAACATCTATAATTAACCTTACTAAAATAACCTTGAATAATTATCCCTCATCTATTAATTACCACCTGCTGAGTGAGATTAAAATAATAATTACCCGGGGTAATAATTTGAGTAAATACTAGGGTTCGATATTACGGAGCGGGGGCTGAGTTTACGGAGAACGGGAGTTGCGGGGAATTATTGCTCAGGGAACGGGGAATGCGGGAAATTCGAGCCGCGGGGACGGGGTCGGGGTTCTGGGGGGAGACCTCCCCCCGTTGCCCGGGGATTCCTTACCCCGGGGAACGGGGATCGAACAATGTAAACTACTGTATTTATTATTTTTAAAATTAATTTTAATTGAAGTAAAATGGTTCAAACTTATCTTTTCATTGGTTATACAATATTCGAGTGGATAACTATTGTCTTGTATATTAGACTAATTTATGTTTTGTTTACTGATAAATTGTTTAATGGAACTTTTTATCGTTTCATTATAATTATTGGAATTTCGGTAAATTTAAAAATATTTTGGCTCGTTTCCGGCTGGCAGTTAAATATTGGATTTTCTTCTTTATAAAGCTGAGCTTCGTTGGGGAGGGCTTCGTAGGGTTGGAAGCGCTCTGCTAAATAAGAGATAGCGCTCTGATAAACTAACTGATATAGATTCTGTGCTACATATTATAGCTTTTTATGAAGCAAATAAAAATTAATGTACTACTATAATAATGGCACAGTCAGTTGTAAGGTTGGCGGATAGTTGGAACTCTTCGGATATCCGGATCCTTACCGAAAGGATATCAGCCCGGATCTGGATTCTAGATCCGCCAATCACACTCAGTCGTATTTCGGTTTGGTCTCACTCCATTCCATGAATGTTCTACATATTCCACCAACGAATTTTACATTGAATTTTTCCAACGCATGAACATAATAGAATCTAACCTCAGTTTTGAAAACCAATGAAAATCCAATAGATTTAATCACGTGTACCGGGCAATAGCCTTTAATTTCTCTAATTTTCTGATAATTTTTAAATTTTTTAAAGAATCTATTGAATTATTTGATGGTATTTTTCTTCTATAATTAACCAGTGTTTGATCCACTTGCCCCCCTTTTTGACTACTTTCCTTCTGGTTATTCGATTGGAATAATTGATTTCATTGTTTTTTATACTGCTTTTCAACAAGATGTTTTATATACTTCGATTTGTTTAAATAGATTTACAGCTGTATGGGAACCTTTTAAACAACAAACCGTTAGATTTTTTAAATTTTTATTCGGGTATAGTAGTAACTTCTTAAAGAACCGATCAGTTCTTTGCTTAACGGTCTCAGTTTTTAGATATCTCATTTCCACAACGCTCATATAACATACAAAACTGTTAACCAATTATGGAAATAAAAATAATTTTAGAAAATAATTAAATGTACCTCCCTAGTTATTTAATTTTCAAGCATATCGAAATAATATTTGATAAGGTCATATTTGTATAACATGAACAGATCTGTTTGTCTGTTCATATTGTTTCCCTTTAATCTCCAAAAAATAAAAACAGTAAAGGTGGCCGTCCACAATGATTAGCGTAAAAATTAACTAAGGATCCTGCGTTTGAGCACTTGATTATGTGTAATGTTTCAGAAAGATAAAAAAATGCCGACAATTCCTATTGAAATATCAACTTTCTTAATTCAAAAATATTTTTAAAATTAAAGCGTTGGAAGAAATGGTGGATTTGGCATGTTTTATTTGCGCATATTGTACCCTTACCATTAACAATTCATATACTGTTTTCAAGAGGATTGTATGTACCTTTAGATAGATACAATCCTGGAATTGAAAAAGTACCAATTTTGTTGTATTATAATCTGTGGGAAGTAAGCAAATTTTTTAAAAATATAATAGTTGACCTCACTTTTAGATAAAAGGCTTAATTTATGAGGTCTTTAAGCTCAATCTTTTAGGTAGCTATGTCATCTGAGGCCGATAAAATGAAGTCCTACTAAATGCCCATTAAAATGAGACCATTCAGAAATAATATCCTGAGTAGGGTTGACAAAATCCTACTTGGAACGAAAGATCGAGTCGGGCCTAAAATATTTGGCCCGAAAAGACTCGTACGACCCGACTCGATAAAGTTAGGCCCGAAAGTGACTCGCACAGGCCCGACTTGATAAAAACAAGCCCGAAAAAATGTCTCGACCTTTGGCCCGACTCGAAAACGGCAACCCTAATCCTGAGCTTAAATAGAGAAGTAAAAATTTTTGAAAGTATTTAAAAGTGTGGTTCGTCTGTCTTTTCAAAAAATTATTTTTTAGTTAGACATTAATATAATAACGATAATATTAAATTCTGTTTGCTTAATTATTTGTTTTTGTTTAAATTTGGCAACTTTTATTAAAGTCAAAAAAATTAAAAAGCAAAATCCAATTACTATAGTTGGGAATGTTAAAAATAAAAATAATAATACAAATGGGGGGATTTCTAAACCAGAAATAAATCTTATAATTATGACTGCTGTAATGACTGCAATGCTTACAACATCTCTACTATATCAGGTAACATGGTGAAGGGGTTTCCAAATAGCTAGTTTACTTTACGGGAGTTTAGGATCTACTATTAAAAGAGAGGGTGCTGAGGGTTAGAATAATCTTCTATAAATATGGTAAAGTATGTGGTCACTCTGGCCACAGGGACAGAGAGGCAAACCTCAGCGGGATGTTTGAATGTATCAAACTGAGCATCCGCTTCATCCTTCCTACTTCCAGCCATCCTTAACTGTAAATAGCTCTGACTGAAAATTCATCTTTACATCGATATCTATAGTATTTGATATGAACTGTATTAGTTTGCCGATAGCCATAACCCAGCCATAAAAATTAATACATTAAGCTAAATTTTAGTTGTTATACTACCTATTAAAAGATGGAAAACCCTTAGCAATTTTACTTGGAAATTACCAAAATATTGATATGGTATTTGAGCTACTTTGGAATCAGCTTCCATGGGTGAATGATTTAAGAGCTTTATCACATCCATGGCTACTTGTTGCACTTTGTGAGGATGTCCGTCAAAAGAGTGTTGGGGGATTGTTGCGATTCAGCAAGACATGGAAAACTAAAGTTGAGCCGATACAATCAGTAAATGTTAAGACTGTTTAATTTCAAGTAATGAAAGACGATTTAAATGATTAACTCATGTGATATATGTTCAGAAAAATTAGTATAAAGTGTGTTTATTAAATAACTGTCTGAATTTTTATAGTATTATACCGTAGTTCAGGCTGGAATTTACGGAGCCGGATATGAAAGTCTGGATATATTTTCGGTTCGGTTATTGGTTATCCGGAGATTTCCCAGGATTAGCTAGACTTATTTGTTAGTCCAAATCCGTTGAGAGCTTATCAGCAAGAATTGGTGGTTAATTATGAGGAAAAGTTTAAAATGTTAAAACAATCAGAGAAAAAACTAGAAAACATTGCCATATTTTATCTAGTTGAACAGCCGACCCCGGGTATTTGAGGGGTCTCATAAACATTGAGGGGTCTCTTAAAGAAAATACGGTATTTCGAGAAACATTTGGATCATTACATTATGTGCCTTATTCAAAATTATTTTTGATACAACCACGTATTATTATTTTAATTAAATTTTTAAATTAATTCTTCTCTACATTCTTCAATTTCTGTTTGTCCAAAATCCCTCTTTCCTCCTTTTTTGCCCAATAATTCTATACTTTCAATTTTAATTCCAAGACTTGCTGATTTTGTCATATCATAAATTGTTAGCACTGCCAAAGAACATCCAACCTTTAACAATTTTTTAAAATTTTTCAAAATTATCAAGAAACCATTGCTTCCATTTCTACCCCAGTTTTAGCTTCTACAGCTTTGGCACGAGACAAAACAATTATTTTGTTGTTTGGTCGATCAATTTTAAAATATATACGAACTGAAGTTAAAGGTATTTGGTGGCATAAAGGAATTAATTGGAAAGTTTGTTTGGCTGCTAAAATTCCGGCAATACGAGATACCTTAAATTTTTTGTAAATGAAAAATTTTATTAGGCTCTGTTAGGAGACCAATGAAAATTTAGACTAGAAATCGGACTGAGCCGAATTTTATTTAAAAAAATCTCGGTCGATTCTTCAGACTTTAGTTCACACATTAAGGCATAAACACCTCGAAACCTAGTACCGGATCGAGACGAGATCTCGAAGATTTTTCGAGATAGATCGAGTTTTTTTGAGTTATCTCGTACGACACAAATTAGCATAGCGAAAAATGTTAGTGGGAAGTTTTGAATAGTACCGAAGTAAAACTCTCCCAGATGATTTCACCATTAATAACATCAGTTCTACTATTCTAGGGAATGTAAAAGCTCTCATAATGAATAGACTTTGAAGACGTTTTAAATTAGAGAACGGACGTGAAGAAGTTCGAGATAAATATCTCAAAAAAATCTCGACTCTTGATAAACAAGAATCTTCATCAAAATCTTCATTGGACTTCTCGAATATATTTAATTTTTAAATTTTACAGCAAAAATATCTCCTTTTTTATTTTTATTTTCCAACAAATTATCCAAAATTCCAACAGGAAAATTTATTATAGCTTTAGCAATTGCTATTCTTTCAAAGCTTGGAGGTTTACTTCCAACATCAACCATTATTGCATCACCGCTTTTTTCATTAATATGGGTAAATAAAATATTTTCATCTTTTTTGTATGTTGAGTAGAAACGTGGAACTGATGAGAGAATTTAACAAAAATTTATGGATTTTTTTTAAAAAAGAATGATTTTTTGTTAAATTTTGTTAGATTTTTGATTGTCTGACCCTACTCAAAAATCGCAAAAAATTTTTTTATTAAATTTAAAAAACTTTGGTTCAACTTTTGAAAAAGTTAGATCGGAGCTAGACAAGACCTCGTACAGATTATTTACCGAGATATACTTATTTTTCGAGATCTCTATTCGATTTTTTTTGATTAAATAATTTTACTCTGAGAGCATCTCACAATAGTATATCTATCATCTTAAACTCGACTCTTGAATGGATTTCAAACGGTCAAAAGGAGTGAAATCTTGCAGAATTAATCCTGGAAATCCTGCACATTCGTCATTTTAAAAAACTGGGATTTTGAGATGGAATCTCGAAAAATCCGTCAAGGGAACTCTCTTGCGCCTATCGATATCTAGTTGGTGATCGAGATAGACCTGGAACAAGGCCTGGGTTTTCCTGGACTACAGGCCTAGACTTCGGCACAGGTCAATAAATTAAACCAGGAACTTTGGAACAGACCCAGACATTTCAAAAATTTCGATCACTATATCTAATACACAGCTGCTAAGACAATTTTTAAATTTTTGTATAAAATTAATTTACTGATTAAAAATTAAATGATAATTAAAAATATGTATAAACACCGTTTAAAGATGTTAAAGAATTATTTATCCCCCAATGTGAACCATTGGCCTTGAACCAGGAAGTGTATCTGCCATTTGAATAAGCTTTTCCAGCCCGGCATGTCTCGCCGCTTTTCTTTGAACTGCTTTTCCAATCATTTCCAACAATTTTTGATTGTCTGCCCCACTCAGAAAAGAAATTTTTTTGGGAAATTTTTTAATTAAATAATTTTACTCTGAGAGCATCTCTCAATGAAATTTCAGAAAGGCCATGCAAACAGACCCAAAATAAATTGAATATTTAATTTAAATACTAAAAATTAATTAATTGCCTTCAAATTGCCATCTGCTGTTATTCTTAAACGATTGCATCCACTATTTAATAAAAAAATATTTTTGAGAAAATACATATTTTTTCAACTTGATTAAATTATTGACATGCAAAACCCGGACTATGACAGCGCAAAGCCATAACCTGCTGGAAAATTTCTGGCCATTATCAATTTTGATACCAATTTCTTTAGCTCGGTGAGTGAAATCGTCTAATACTAAATTTGTTATGGCTTTGCGCCGTTATGACCGCGCGCCTACTTTGTTGTACCTGCCAAACCCTTAGCTAGAGATATATTGTATTGTGTCCCAAACGCTCAGGTTTTGAATGTATACAGGGTTTAGTAGTCAGGGATGATTGATCAGGGATGATTTTGAGTCATTGTTTGGGGCAAGTTTGGTTACAACACTAGATAACATTTATAATTTATATAAACTTACCCACAAAAATGTTCACTCATACTAGAAATAAATCCAAATTTGCCAACAAATCCTTTAACTTGATATGACTAAAAAATATATACAGTCGTACCTCATTTTTAGATAACCTCATAGAGCTTATAAGAAATCTTACCACATAATTAGTGTTATCTTTAGGAAAGTCTTCGTTTTATTCGGTATATTAAATTGGGAATGTCGTTTATCCACCCAGAAATTTTAAAATCCCAATGCAGTACCTAATTTTGAATGGATCCAAAAATGAGGTTGTCGGATCCGAATATCCGGATCCGGAAAAAGGATGGATATACGGAAATTTTCAGTTCGGATATCGGATCCGGATATCCGAAGATTTCCAAATATCCGACAACATCACAATAAATGAGGTTTGACTGTATGTATTTATGAAAGATTTTCTTTAATTTGAAAGAATTTACTTTGCTAGTTTCATTAGGTCCATCAGTTAATCTCTCAATATTTTCAATTCCATAATATTTCCCAATATTTTCCAACATTTCTCTATAGGACACAAATTTCTTCATTTCATAATTATTGCCAGCAAAGGGCATAAATTCAATAAAACGAATATTAAATGATAATTCTCTTCCAATTTCTACTAAGGAAATTACTTCTTTTTCGTTTATTCCACGGATTACTACACAATTTATTTTGACTTTTCCTTTAGGCATTAATTGTTCGGAAAGGATTAATCCACGCCAAACTTTTTGAAAACCGTCACGACGCGTAATCTTTATAAAATAAATATTAGAGAGGTGCTAGAGCGAAGAGCTTATAGAAACACAGGATTTTTATCCAAAACTTCGGAGTTATCCCCAAAGCCCTATAAAACCCGAAAAAAGAAAATAGTTTTAATATACCATTTAAATTAGCTAATTATCAAGTGTTACCCCATAAACCCTGCCTTTTTTGCCTGAAAAAGGACACACAAAATGGGAATTTTTCAAATATAATAGAAAATCCCTATGATTTCATGTCTTATTTCATTCTTCATCCTAAAAGACTCGTACAAAAAAATATATGGAAAAATATTATTTGGAAAAAATAAAATTAAATTTTTAAAATAAAATTAAAAATAAAATTAAAATAAATTTTTCCTCAAATTTTGGAAAAAATTGTGATTTTGGGTTAACACGAAAAAATATAAATTATAATTTCCCCGAAAACTACTATATTTCGAGGCATCTTTATAGGGTTGCTTTAATTCCCCTTTTTAAATAAGAATAATTCTAAAACACCTCAGCATATTTTTGAGCAGATAATGAATCTAACGAAACTAAAATAATATTTAGATTATTTTTATAATTCATCCCAAATATCCCAACCATTTAAATTAGTCAATCCAGCATCAATTAAAGGTTTAATCATTCTATTTAAAACAATCCCATTTGTTGTAATACCTATTTCTTGAATTCCATCAATTTTAGACAATTCACCTTTATTAATGAAAATATTATGTATTTACAAAATTTTATAGTCTTTTTAGAATTTTTAAAGAGTTTCCGGTCAACTATCGGAACCCTTAAAAATTATAATTGTTCGCGATAGGTTATTAACGGTACTCCTTCGTTTGCTTGAGGTGAGGTGGGGTCAATGATTTTCTAAAGCACTCATTTTTAAAAATTAAGGGTTTCTATAGTAAAGCAGAGCTGGGCTATACATAACTATTTCTCTCCTTCAGCTAACACCACGCCGCTTACTGCACAGCCTTAGGAATTAAATAGCTATATGTATGCTTAACACTATTCTTAAATTATCTTATATTACTTTAAATTAAAAATTAATAAAGATAACTTACTAACAATTTCTACCAAATCTATCAAATAAAATTAATTAATTTTTTAATTAATAATTATCCACACCTTTTCTAATTGTTGGTTCACCACCAGTTAATCTTATTTTATTTACTCCTTCAAACGCAAATAGTTTAGCAAGGCGAATAATTTCTTCCTTGGTTAACTGGTCAGAAGAGGGTGTTAATTTAACACCCTCCTCAGGCATACAATATTTACCTTTGAATTTAATTTATTTAAAAAACTAAAGAAGGGGTGGATGGCCGTCGCTAATTATTACCTAAATATTTTACATTCTTCATTATTATCTCAGTTTTCAAAATTTAAATAGTTAAGACAAATATCATTAACTACATTTTTTTGATTTTTCATTACCTTTTACTTTTAACTCTAAAACAATATCCGATTATTTATCTGCAATACCAAAATTTTTCTTTATAAACTCTTTTAGTTTAACTAAATCTAATAGAGCGGCCTTTAAAGTGTGGATTGAAATAAAGAGCTGCCGGCCTCTCTATCAGAAAAATCTGAATATTTTAGTATCGCTCGTTTCACATGTTCTCGAAAAGCTACCATTTTTGTAGATCTTTCAAGAACTCCACTCCAAAAATGAGTAAATGCTTACAGTTGTAGGACGTGGAATAGAATTTTTGTATTAGGTAATTTAGAGGGGAAATCAGGAGACTTGACTTGGAGGCTTGGAGGTTCGTACAGGACGTAGGAGAGAATTTTTGTAAAAATTCAGGGGGAATCAGGAAACTTGACTTGTAGAGTCGGAGAGTCTCTTACGAGAATCGAGATCGTTATCTCAAAAAATATTATTTCAAAAACCGAAGTTTCTGTTCGAGATCTCGTCTAACTCCGATCACTAATTAAATACGAAAAAATCTTTTTAAAAGACTTACAACGTAAATTACATTTTTCAACAATTGAAATTCTTAAATAATTATGGAAACGTCCAAAAGAGTCAATTAAAGAAGAATTTTCTTTAAAATTTTGTTTTACTTCATTTTTAATTAAATTTGTAGTTGAAAAATATTTATATTGAAATTTTAAATTATTATTATTAATTAATTTAATTATTTGATTATTAACAAAAAATAATATTTTTTTATTATTTATCATATTTTTCTAGATTTAATTTTGAAGAAAAATAAATAAATGTAGTAATAAAATAATTAATTTACTATTAAGTCTATTGATTTGTACTGATTGATAGTAAAAAAATAATAAAAAAAATAGATATGTTCAATGTTTTAAAGAAATATGTAACTTTCATTACATATTAATGATAAGAGATTTTTTTAGTTTTATGTACATTAAAAATTAATCATAAAATTATGGATCATAAAAGTTGATTGAGATGTGAAATTGAGAGATACTTTCTAAAAAAAAGGTAAAAATTGGAAAACGGTAAGAGGAATACTGAAGAATAACCTAAACTGAGGAAGGAGTTAATTCTGTGGTTATATAAAAAAAGTTCTAAGGAAAGAATCTAGAAAAAGTTTAGCCAACGGGCATCATTTGAACTATGACAATGTTTGCTCACACAGATACAGGTGCTCTACCACTGAACTAACGGGGCATTGACCAATGCTTTTTCTTTTTCCAGTTTAGATCGTTTAACCCTCGCCTAAGCGTTTCAAATGCTCTAGGTACATAGATCATCCTAACTATGAAAAATTCTAAATTCTGAAATAAGGATGAAAGTCGAACAAAAATAGGTGGATTAAAAAGATGATGCTGAACAGACAAGAATAATGCAGTAAAAGGAAGATTTCTACTTCGGGATTTAAACAACTATATTATTAATTGTTATTCACTTGGACTAATTAAATACTCTTTAGAATTTTTTAAAATAATTTTAAAAAATATAACAATGTTTTAATAAATTAAAAAAGGCTCTAAAAACAAATCACAAAAATGCTGCTTCTTAAAAATTTTTCTATTAAATTCTAAAAATAATTAATATTTTCTCTAAAAGATTCAATCGGAAATGCAGCTCGATGTTTATCCATATACGAAAGAAAATCCTCTCCATAGGCTAAACAACATTGAAGCAAAGCTTCAGCGTCTCCCTGTGCTCTATGTGAAGAGAATAAACCGGTGACAAAAAACTGGAAAAATTTTTTTTTAATTTTTTGGAATTTCTAAAAAAATTTTAAACTCGTTCTTGTAATGCCAAAAGTGTTCTCTTCCCTCTCCCAACACTTTCACGTTTAGCCTGATGTGAATTAAAATCCCAATTTCCTTCTCTATTTCGACTAAAAAATAAAATTAAAATTTTAAAAAATTTAAATTTATCCACCCAAAATATTGCGAATTTATTCTCCTTCGTTTAGCTGGACTCCAACTTTCTGTACGCATAAATGTAACGGGTGTTGGTGGTTGATTACTAGTAGCACTTGTACTACTTCCGAAAAGGCATCTTTTTGCCCTTAAAATTTATTTTTAATTAAAATTTTATTTTTATCATGATTCTCAAAGATCAGCTCAAAATATAGGAAAGGTCCCAATTTCCATTTTCCTAATTTCCTTCTCTATTTTCCATTTTCCCAATATAACAAAATTAGAGCTTCCAGTACTCTACATATTAAATACAAAAATCATGTAACTTTAGTGTTCCGCCAAAAGTTTCTGTTCTATTTTATTAAAATTATCAGGATTTTTGGTTCCACTATAATAAATACGTTTCATTTCATCCAAGGACTTATACTTTTAATACTCCAAACTAGAGATCAAGCTGGACCTGGACCAAGGCCTGGGTTTTTCCTAGTGTTCGGCACGGTACGGTATACCGCGGTATTTTTCCCGGTATACCGCGGTATTTTTTTCCGGTATACCGATACCGATACCGACCGGTCAAATTTTGAAAAAAACGGTATTTTTCGGTATCGGTATTTTTTCGGTATACCGATACCGATACCGTACCGGTCCTCGAAAAAATACCGCGGTATTTTCCGGTATTTCGGTATTTGTGAAATTTTTCAAAATTTTCGCCTGCGGCGCTGAAAAAGGAAGAAATCTGTCTTCTGGTCTTCCAAAATTCTCAAAATTTTTGCCTACCGCGCTGAAAAAGGATATATAGGGACATTCTATTAGAGGGGGCATTGTATTTTTCAATTATCCGTCTGGGGCATTCTATTAAAGGAGGGTATTCTAATGGTGGGGGCATAGTAATTTTCAATCATCCTCCAGGGGACATACTATTAAAGCAGAGTATTCTAATGGAGGGGGCATTGTATTTTTCAATTAGCTAAATGTCGAGCAATTGTTGGACATTTTGCTGATTCAAATCTTGCTTATGATCGATTAGAAGAAGCTCAAGTCCTTGAGATTGTTAAGATTTATTGTTAATATTTAAAAAATAAAATTTAAAAAATTTTATAAAATTTTTTAAAAAATACCGAATACCGGCCGGTATACCGAAAATTTTGAGACGGTATTTTCCGGTATCGGTATTTTTCCGGTATACCGATACCGATACCGTACCGGTCAATTTTTGTAAAAAACGGTATTTTTCGGTATCGGTATTTTTTCGGTATACCGATACCGAATACCGGAAAAGGTCATTTGCCGAACACTAGTTTTTCCTTTACCCAGAGTCCAGGTCCAGGCATTTTTTGATCTTCCTGGGTTTTTTTGTTCTACAGGCCCAGGATCCAGTCCGGTCAAGAAATCAAACTCCAGAGTCCAGGAACAGGCCCAGGCTTTTCAAAATCTCGATCTCTACTCCAAACCCCTTTAATCCTTCCCAATCCCATAAATTTTTAAAATAATAATTTACCCTTTCCTTCCCATTTCTTTCTTTTCATTTTGTTTTTTATTAAAATCTGGAGTTTTTTGAAGCTGTTCTTCTGTAGGTGGAGCTCTAATTAAATTTTCAAAATTATCTGTTGTTCCCTCATTATTATCAATTTCTTCTTCCTCATTTTCTTCTTCCTCCTCCCCTTCATTTTGTGAAATAACTTTAAAAATAATTAAATAAAATAATTATTTAAATTAATTAATTAACTATATTTCCAATTAACATTTCTTGTTGTAATTTCAACCTCATTGTCAAAAGAATTTTCAATGTCTGGCAAGGAGGATAATGTATCGAGAAAATAAACCTTTTAATAAAATTTTGAGTAAAAATTATTGAATAAAAAATATTTTTTGTGAGGGAATTTTTATGGGCATTGAGTAACACTTATTTCTTCAATTCCTCTATATCAAGGTGAATGGCCAAATACGTGCAAGGCTTTCGAAAATATTCAGATTTATGTTTGGATATGTCTTGAAGTAGGTCAAAAATTGTGTTTTTATTTGAGAAACATTCTTTGATTATAATTTCTAAAGTTTTGTATAGATGTGAAGTAAATTAAATTTTTCTGATTTTCTATAGCCGGAGCATGGCATTGAGCGGCGCAGGCAAAAATTCATTAGTTTTCAGATTTATAGGGATAATTATCCCTTGGATTCTTACTACTCCAGTGAATAGGCCTGTGTGTTACATCCCGTGCTTGGTAGCCCGTGATGAAAGAACTTGAATTTTACCTCTAAAAAATTTCAAAAATACAGATTAATCCCTTTAACAATTTCTCCAAGTTTATCTGATTAATTTACAATAATTACTTTAATTAAAAAAGAAAAATTTTTAAATTGAACCCCTTCAGGAATTGGCCATTTTTCTAATAAATTTGATTGAATTAGTTCATGCATAAGAAGCCTAAAATCAAAACAAATTCCATTATGAGCAATTAAACAAGCTGGTTTTGGTGCTATAGAAAGCATTTGGTGCTTTAAACGATTTAATTAAATTCTTATTTAAAAAATTTTTTCCCTTACAAATCCAGGCCATTCCTCCGCGAATGTATTTTTTAATTCCAAATCTTCTCTTCGAAGTTGGATCACTTTAAATTAATTAAGTCTTAAAAGACAACTCATTATTCTAAATGCTTATAGATTAATTGCCTATGTTTAACGAGAACCCCATGGATTTAGATAAGTCCTGGAATTGAAAAATTAGAGAACCTGGATATCGCTTGTATGGACATACATAATCCCAACTCCTCGTATAAAATTAAAAAATTATCTTAAATTGAGGTAGAATGTCTGATTATGGGATAATTAAAATGAGTTTTGACTATAAATAATTTAAAATATTTTTTTCTTTCATTGTTAATATTAAATTTATTTAGGCTAAATCTGTATTGAGAGCTCAATTTAACCTTGATAAGATAGTACCGTTGTAAATTAAAATTATTTTAAATAATTAATCTTTAGGTCATGGTTAGCTTTCAACCAATTTTTACAAACGGAAAAACCGCCGATTCTTAATTATTAACCAGCAGCTGAATTTTTATCCTACGGGCCCAGGAATCACCGTGCAGTTTCCGAAAAAATAAGGTCTCTTATTTTCAAAGAAATTAATAGAACCAGTGTTTGGAACTTTAAGATTTGCCCTTACTCGTAATTCGTACACAGGTACGAGTACGGTTACAAATTTTGGAATTTTGGTACAAGCTTTCAGACACTGAATAGAACCCCTCATTTAATAACTCAAAAAACAATTTTTAAAATTAAAAAATTTTAAAATTAAAATAAAAACCATTCGGTTTATTCATTCTAAGCAATTCATAATTTGCCCATTCAGTCGAATTTAATTTTGGATTTATTTGTCTAGTTTGTATATTAGTAATTACTGGAATAAAAAAATCAACAAGTTGATTATTTCGAATATTTAATTCTTTATTTAGTTGTTTTGAAGCTTCTTTAAAAAGTTTTGAGGGAATTGAAATTAATGAAATTTCTGTTATATGAGGCTTTTGACGACCATCTTTAAATGAAAAATTTCTAAATTAAGGAAAATCGAGGATATATTTTTTTATCATTTTCTTACTGTTTTATTAAACGCTTTTGCGGACAGTTCCTAAAAGGTAACTCATAAACAGTTAATTATGCTAATAGTCAGAATTTTCTCTAATTTTTAGTTTGTTTTTTTGGTTAAAATAATTTTAAATTTTGTATTTTATCTTGTATTTACCAAGGGAAAATTTTTTTAAATACTATTTTTTTCAAATCCAATAACAATAAAAATTACAAAACACGCAAAAAGCTAAAAATTAAGTAGAAAAGGCTTAGTATACCTACGAAATTCCCATAAAAAATTTTTTTTATTTTTTTCCAAATAAAATATCAACAATTTAAACCTGAACGTATAATATTTTCCAATCGACGTGTTAAATCCTTTGGAGGACCCGGATTAATTAAAGGGTCAGAATAGCTATCGTCAAAAAGTCCGGTTGATTCTAGATCCATAAAAATGAGGGTTTTTGTTGCTTCCATTTATTAAAAAAGTTTTTAATTTTTTTTAAATATTTTTTAATCAAAAATCCACGCAAATATTTAATTATTTTTTGTTAATTTTTAATGGAAGAATATTTTTTCTGTATTTCTCTTTCACTATCCATTATTTTCTTTCTCCCTTCGTATAGAGCGGAATTAAGTTTAAGGGAAACCAAATGACTGGTTGGGGAACTAAATAATAAAAATAAAAATCGGAAAGGAAAATAAATTTAGAAATGTGGAGAGGAAAGAATAAACGAGGGAATGTTTTTATTTTTTCAAAAAGTTAAATTAAAATCTTGTTTAAAATTTATAAAGTAATAATCAAAGCTGCTTTGAAATTTCGATTTTTGACTTCTGATTTTAAAGTTTCTTTTAACTTTTTTTCTTTCTTCAAAAATTTGATTTTTATGGCACTAAAAAGAGGAGGAATTCTTGGCCATCTAAAATTGAAAAAAATTTTCGACTGTTTTGCTATAAAGGCGGAATTGAATTTTGTATATTCACAGTAGGGTTAGTCAAAGAAAGCGTAGAGACAAACGGGACCGGTATCCAGTCCTTTCTTTGCCTTTATTGGAGTGACCGGGACGAGACCGTAAAGAGGGTTTTGCCACTTCACGTTTTAACAACTAAAAACTTAAAAGTGGCACACAGTTGAAGAGGGCGGAGCCAAGATTTGGCGTCAACCGTTTGATGTATATTTTTTAGATCATATTTTTAAAAAATATTACAGAATTTTACTTCCTTAAAGTCTACGGCTTTTCAATGATGACTAACGATTTTTTAAATATTTTAAACATTAGAAATTTAAATAAATTTAAAATGCTTATATTAAATAAAAAAGATTGTTAAACGAGTATAGATACAGTTAAGTAAATAAGTTTTGACGTATTTTATATGGAGACCGTCCTAGAGATCAACAAACTTAATTTGGATAACTACTTGGAAACTTGGGAATTGGGAATTGTAACTTGTATCTTGGGAATATACTCTCTAAAAATCAAGATTAGAGTTAGGGCTGTTCAAGACGGAAGATTTTCAGTACTTAAGGCGGATATACCCCGAGGTACTTTCGAAATTTGGCTTTGTTCAAAATCGGATATGTTCGAAAATCGAAGTTGCTCAACTCAAGACAAGATCGAAACTTTAAAAAAATCTTGAATCAAGAGCAAGACGAGTTTGCTTGCTTCAACCGGAACATCGGTTCACTTCTTGGTCTCTAAGGGTGTTTTTTCTTCTTGGTCTTTTTTACATCTTGGCCATCTTTTCTTCATCTCTAAAGATGTTCCATAAAGTACTTAGTTTATCCATAATGTGGTTATCTTTATGCGTTCCCTCTGGTATGGTGATCTTTTGCGTGACTCAGAATATCTCTCATTCATTTAAGCATTTTTTAAAATTATTTTTTAATTTTTTGAATATATTTTGGGAAGAGATGCGAATGATTTTTGAAATGCGTCATAAAACTTTTTGGGTGCTTCTCCTTTTGTTATATCAGCTAAATTATAATGGCAACTCATATAAAATATTTTTTGGCTATAACTTATTTTACTTTATTCATAACCAAAAATTTCCAATAAAAATTAAATAATGATTTTTAATTTAATATTTCTATTACTTCTCGTGTCAGGTATTTTAAATTGGTGGTGAGAGAAGGAAAAAATTAAATTTTAGATTTAAAAACTGTTTTAACTGAGGATGAAGAATGTATGAATGATGAAGCTCGTTTAGCTGTCTTGCATGCCCACAATAAATACAGATCTAAATTGGCATGTGGGGAAGTTACAGATGCTTCTAACAAAACTTTGCCTGGGGGAATATTTCATAAATTTGTTAGTTTTTTGGAGTTTATTGAGCTATTCCTCTCGCACGCTCATTTTTTCCGAAATATCAGGTTCCTCTCTGATCTAGTGTTTTGGGTATGTTCCTCTCTGATCAGTTTCCTTTCTGATAAAGTTTTACCAAAATGAGTTTTATTGAGACAAAATTTGGTGTAAGCATGCTTATAGTAAGTTGTGCCACGAACCCCGTTCCCGGACGATTCTTTATGAAAGAGAAAACTACTAGTAATAAGTTATATTTTATTTAAATAGATTTACAACGTAACAATGGAAAAACTTTCACAAAATACCGCTAATTGTTGTGAAATGAAGCATTCTAATGATACTTTATATGGCGAAAATTTATATGCAAGTAGCTATAAAATGAATATTAGTAAGTTTAGTTTTCAGCTACAAATCGAGAAAGCCTTTTTCTCTCCGGATCAGATGTTTCTACTTTTTTGATTTTCTGATTCCGCGAAATTTTCCCGTAGAAATTTTTCTCTGTCCCCTAAGTACCTATCTTAAATTGAGGTGCTTCTAGTCTAGTATTGCGTTATTATATGTAGTTCGAAACGATACAAAAATCTCGTTTATCTAGATAACTAGGTACTTTCGAGATATTTTATTCTCCTCCCAGTCCGATTTTTAAGTTCATATCAGTGGTGGGTAGAGCCCCACAAAATACAAGACACGAGACCAAACCCGCTCCTGATTTATATTATAGCTAGGCCGGATTATATCCAATTATTTTCTAGCTGATGCCTTAATTGCTGCAGTTGATATGTGGATTGCAGAAAAAGACGTATGTCCAATAGCTGCGAATGATCTGAAGGCTACAGATGCAGTTTGGGATGGTTGTGGACATACTGTCCCCGTAAATACACTAAATTTTCGATCTCTTTAAAAATAGCCTATTTAGATGATGCAATGGCAATCAACACAAATCTCTTGCGGTTTTCAAATCTGTGGGGAACAAGCATGGTGTAAAGATGAATATAAATGCAAAACAACAACTTTGGTTTCTTGCAATTATTATAATCCGTAAGAGAGATTTTTTAGCCCTCTTTCAAAAAATTTCGATTTTTTAAAATTTTTTAGAGCTTATGATGGCAATATTGCAATATATAATCCAGGAAATAAATGTACTTGCGATACTGATTGCAAATTATATGAAAATTCAACATGTGAAATAGACAGTGGATTGTGTAAAGCACCTCTTCATCCAAAATTGGCGAAGAATTAAATTTAAAAAAACTTTCTTGATATAAAATGGGAGGGATGATCTGGGAAATTTTTAAACTATACATTTAAATGGATTATAACTCAACTTTGAGATAATGAATGATAATTTAATGAGAGTTAATCGAAGAAATCAACGACCTTCCGAGGGTTATTAAACTGAGAAACTTCGGGGTTTTCTATTAAGGCTGTTGGTTGATCTGATTAAATGAACACTATTTCCACTAGGGTTTGCGGTTAATATTTGGAACTGAAAAAAGTCCGAATACCCATAGATTTTTCAGGAACCGCCAACCAGCTGCCCAAAGACAGATTACCATTAAATAAACTAATACTAATGGTAATCAGTTGGATTATACTATATAATTAGAGACCGGATTTGAGATCGATAGATATTATTGTTATCGATAATTGATAATATCGGATCGAAAAAAATATTTCTTTCGATATATTCTTAACATTTATTATTCAAAATTTTTTACTCGTTAGACTAATTTGCGTTATAATGAGAGTCGACTGTCCTTTTAATTATTAAACATATTTTCATTTAAATTAATTTAATTCGTAAAAGTTTGGCCAAGAATATTACCTATTAATTACCCTTTAATTTCCCTATTATATACCTATTAATAAATTTAATTAATTTTTCAAACCTCACTTGAATAAAAAATAATTAAAAAATATATACTTATGGAACTATAACTATTTTTTACTAAATTTATAATTAATAATATTACAAAAAATTAACTATGTAAATTTAAATATTAAATAAAAATTATGGACAATAAAAGATATGTGTCTTCTTGGAAATAATTGTAATAATAATAATTTTTCTATCAAAAACTAATGAAGAATAACAATTTTTAAAATTAAAATAAAATAATTTTTAGAATGAATTTATAGAATGACCCTCAATTAGTATGTATAATGGGGGAAATTAATATTTGGCTTATAAGTAAAAAGTGGGAGGTGGTGTCATAATAATTCCCCAGATAAGTGAAAAACCTCATTCACTAAACAGTTGGACCTTAAGGGCTGAAAATTTTATTTTATAATAAGACGTATCTTTATGATGATGCAGTATATCCTATGACCGTTTAAATTTTAAAACGCATTTTATTGAGATGTTTCTTATAGTTTTGTCTGAATTTATCTACATAATGCTACGAGATCGAGATTTTTGAAAAGGGCCTGTTCCTGAGTTCTGGGTTTGATTTATTGACCTGGGCCGGATCCTGGGCCTGTAGTCCAGAAAAGCCCAGGAAGGTCAAAAAATGCTAGGCATGAACTCTGGGTACGGGAAAAACCCCAGGCCTTGGACCAGACCCTACTCTACTACCTATTGGCACCTGCTTGAATCGAGGAACCGGAACTCTTTTAGAAATCTAGTTGGCTATAACCCTTCAATTGTTAGAACCCTTTAACGTGAAAGTAAGTCATTCCCTTAGTGTAGGATTATGATGAGAGTCATCATATTTAAAACAAAAAAATATTTTTTTTGGTATATTATGCCCCTAAAATGACAATAAAAAATTTTTAAATATAAAAATTAATTAAATATATACATAAATATATCACAGCAAAGACTTATCTTGACTTAGAATTTGGTGTGGGAATTAATTTTAAAAAATAAAAAAAAATATGTGATTACAAACTATTTGGAATGATTAAATGTAGTTAAATGAATAAAAATTCAAATTTGGTGGATAATGACAATTGAGTAGATTTATTGATAATTAAATTTCTAAAAAAAATTTTTTTTGAAATTCTCCAAAAACTTTGAAAAATCCAAGAAAATCCTTGGAGATCCCATATAGAACCGAGGATAAATCTTAAATTCAACAACAATCTGTGAATTGTCGTATCCACAAAATTACAATAAAAATATTCTAAAGCTTATAGTTAGTAAAATAATATGACAAAAATATATACATATTTTAAAAATGACAATAAGAATTTTAAAAAATAACCGGGATAAAAAAAATGAAAAATATTATTGGATTATAAATATTTAGGAAATTATTCAAAAAATTTTTTTGTTAACCTAGCAAAGTAAATTCTAAGAATTCCGTATATGCTGAAATAATTACCCAATGTAAGCATTCTTACAATCACTGCTGGAAAGGTAATTAATAGATAATTAATTAATTAAATTTAATAGGGGGTAATTATCTGATAGAAGGCAATTATTCTGAGCATATACGGCATATTAAAATTAATCAGTTTCGAAATATAAATCAAAAAAATGTTAAAGAACTCGCTAAATTAAATATTGTTAAATTGAAAAAATCAGATAAAATCAGTTATTCAAGCCCCCATTTAATTGTCCCAATAAAATGAACAATAAAAAATCAGAATCAGTAATTATAACTCCAATTCTCCCGATGAAAATTTTAATTAAAAAAACAAAATTTAATTCATTCCTTTTTTAGAAAAGGAAACACGTAAATGAGCATTTTCGGCCAATTTATAATTCTAAAAAATTTTTTTAATAATTTTAATTTATTTTTATGTTTAGTTACATGCATAGCAACAAGAAAAGCCACAGCAGTTTCAACATCTTCTAATTGAACTAATGCCATTTTATGATCTTTTCTGAATTTTTTTAAAATTTTTTGGATATTTTATATTTTATAAGGAATTCGGGTGCAAATCGATTATTGTTCTTGATTATCTGGGTAATTATTTTTCAGCCTAAAGCCAAAAGAGATTATTAATCGAAGGGTGTTAATTAATCGAATTTTGAAATTTTTAGGTGAGAGAGAGAGCATTTTAGGGAAAGTAATTATTTTTCCAAACTGGTGCTAAAGGGGATAATTACATATTCAAGAGGGAGAGTATTTAATTAGGAATGTATGGTAGACGGTTATCAAAAAAGCGGTTACCGATCTAAAGCATAAATGGCAAAATTCAGCCCTTAACAGAACTGATAGGATTTTTAGCAGATTTAATGAGTTAATATCGTTAATAAAGACAATAGATATTAGAACCCAGCCGGAGGGGACGGTCGATATTCAATATAAAAATATCTACTATATTCTCCTTTAATTAAATTTAAATTATTAAAAAACTGACTGAAAGAATTTAAATTCAGCAATTTTAAAATCTTTAAAAATTTCGAGAATTGCATCCTCATCCATTCCATTAGGGATATTGGAAAGATGCAAAGTTGCACATGGAGGGTAAATATTCTTTAAAAAATATTTTGATAGAAAATACGGTAAAACCTTGTCTTTAGATACACCTTGTGGAACTGAAAGACATTTAACTTATAATGAGGTGTAACTTAAATAGAGGGTACTTTAGTATCTAGTACAGAACGTTTCTTAAATTTAGGGGTATCTATAATGGTTTGACCCGAAGTTCCGGTTCCGCTTCCAGAGAGTTCCGGTGTTTTTTTTTGTTTTTTGTTCCGGTGTTTTTTGAGTTCAGGTGTTTTTTTCAAATTGGATCCGGTTCCGGTCACAATTTCAGTTCCGGTAAAACACTAGTATCTAACAAAAAGAATCTAGGTTTGACTGTATACTAACAAAAAAATTGTGTACCATATAATTTTTGCTTCCAGGTTTTTTAAAACGATGAAGAGAAGAATTTGTAAATTCTTTAGTTAAACCAGCATCTGGCTGGCCTATTAAAAATTAATTTTTAATTAAGAATTAATTTTAAATTTAGGAAAACCCTCTTTAGGCATTTGAACAAGGGTGTGCTTGGAAGCTGTAACTCGAATATTACGCCCATTCCATTTTAATTTGTCCAAGTGTTGAATTGCTTAATTAGAAAATAATCTTATGATTAATAACATAAATTAGCCATGATAATATTTTAAATTTATCGGAATTACTATAATAAATTGAAAAATCCTTTATGAGTGGGCTGAATAACTTAATAAAAAATAGTTTTGTATGAATTTTGAGACACATCAGAACTATTAGATATATGGAACAGGGTGGGTTCAGTGTTGTATCTCGTGATAGCTTGTATTTCTTGAGAGATCTCGTATCTCGTTTTATCTCGTTCTCGTATTTTTTGAGTATCTCGTGTCTCGTATTTTGTGTGACTCAGCCCAACCTGATATGGAACCTCCTACTCTAACACTTCAATGTATCGGTTGAACAAATTCTATTTATGAGATAACAAACGCAATCTACAACTGCCTTCATGCTTCTCACGAATCATGAAACTAACACTTAGATGATCACTCCCCTTCAGATTTATCACTCCTACTAATTAATTAATATTTCCAAAATTAATTACCTAATTGTGCCTGTTGAATATCAGAGTACTGTATCAAAGCATTATCCTTTTTATTGAAGAGGATTTTGACGCGAATAACGTCTCCATAGACTCCTAAAGCGTTTAATATTCGAAAAACTTTTTTTTATTTTTTAAAGATTTTTTTAATTTTTTTGAAAGAAATGCTTAAAGAAAAGTAAAAAAACAAAAAAAAATATAAAAATACAGAAAAGTTTTTAAAAAAATTTAAAAAATTTAAAATAAAAGCAAAAGCCATTCAAAAAAGATGGCGGAAAGTTCAAGACATACCGAACAGAATGAAAAGTTGCTCTGGAGTCACAGTCTGAAAAAAGAGGAAAAATGCCTTGAGTAGGAAGAAGACAGTAAGAAAATAAAGAAGAAAAAACATTTAATTTTTTTTAATTTTTAAAAAATTTTTTAAATTTTTTCTAATTTTATTTAAAGGTAAATAAATAGTCTGCAAATATAGGTAATTTTTTTGAAATCATAAAGATGGAATATCCACCTGAAATATACTCCCCCTTAACTCCCACCTGAATTAGTACTCCCCCTTAATTTAAAAATAATAATTGTCCATCCTCACCTATGAGGAGTGTTGAAAAATACATAGTACTTCTCTCGGAGGAAAATTTACGAGACATTGGAAGGAAAAAAATTAAAAATTGTGTTGATTCCCGAATTTGAAGTATTCTAATTCCCTAGTCAGAAGTATTCGTTATGTCAGGTATACATATGCTTTCAGGAAAAAGCTTATTATTTTCATTTGGATTTCATAATTGAATTGTTGGATTCTACATATGATTTGGATGCTGTAGAAAAATTTATTGGATAAGAGATGGAATAGGGACCGAAGGTAGAATGAAAAGTTCGAATTTGGAATCAAGCCCTTCATGAAAGGTGGCCTAAATCAATCCGACTGTGAAGCTATCCAACCCGAAGATGTGTTATTCTTTATTCTCAGATTTATTCTCTAAACACAAAAATTATTATCAATTTTTATTAGCGACAACCGGCTATTTATTCTTGGACTAGGGTTATCGGTTTCAAACCGAATCGAACCGAAAAACCGAAGATTTTTGGTTCGGTTTCGGTTAACCGATGAATCTGGTGAGATGACAACCTACCGTTTTAAAAGAATTTTAAACGAAAAAAAATATTTGCAGACTATAAAATACCCAAAAATAATAAATTTGCTTTGAAAACACAAGACAGGAGAAATTGGAAATTCGTTTTCAATTTTAATAATAGTATTAAAAAAAGTAAAAATATGAGCGGAAATTTTGAAAAACACTGACATTAAATTTTATTAAAGTCATAAAAGAATTTTTTTAAAAATAAGCAAAAAAATTATTGAAAGGATGCAAAAAAGAGGGTTTTTTTGAAGGATTCTGATATTTGGGATTTTAATTAAACACTTAATTCTCTACTAATTTAAAATTACTTACAGCCTCATCCAAATTAGAAACAAGAACAACAGGTGTATTAACTACTCCAGATTGGAAGGCCGTATTCAAAACTATTCCAGTTAAATTATTTGACAATAATTGTCCACCGCCCATTAATAATTCTTTAAAAAAGGAATTTTTAGTAAAGTTTTTCTCAATGTTAGCTAGCTTTTATGTCGGCCATATTTTACCAACTATTTCAGTGTTAATTTAGGATTAGTTGAAAATAAGGTTGTACGAGGTCGAGGCCTCCCAGAGGCATAGCTCGCCAATTTTCCAATCTTGGTCTCGGAACTAGGTCTCGGTCCCTCCCAAGAAGCCAACCGAGGACCAGGATAAATATACTACATACATCCCTAAGAATTGACTTATTGGAAAAACTACAGTTGTAAGAGGTCGAGGCCTTCCCACAGGCATAGGCCTTCGCCAATTTTCCAATCTCGGTCTCGGAACCTAGGTCCTCTCCAAGAAGCTAACCGAGATCGAGGATAAATATACATTCCTACGGGAATTGACTTATTGAAAAAACTAAAGTTGTACGAGAACATGGCCTCCCTGAGGTTTATAGCTTAAAAGAAATCATTCAAAATTAACCATTATTTGGCTGTAAAGCCATTTGCCCATTAAATGGAAATTGTGTATTAGCAGTTCCATTAGAAGTATTAACATTAGCTGCCAATTGTTGTGCAGCTACAGCCGCAGCTGCAGCAGCCCCGAAAGGAAAGAGCGCCCCAATTTGTTGTTGTTGGTGATGCCCCCCAGTTAATTGGGTATTTTGTAAAATTAATTGTAATTTTTGTTCGTAGGTTAATTCGCCGGAAGGCAAATTTGGATTTGTATAATCACGACTTTTGTCATTATTATATTTTACGTTTAAAGTGTTTAATTTACTAAATTCAATACGCAACTTTAAAAGAAAAATATTTTTTAATTTTGAGAAAATTTAAATTTACAGTGCAACATCCATTATAAATATTTAAACCATCCAAGGAACTTTCTTTGAAAGATAAAAAAATTATTTAGAAATTAGTTGGAAAATATTTTTGAAGAAGTATTGGCACTAATTTAGAAGGGTGCTCTCAAGTTACAGTAAAAGAGAGGTTAAAGTTTAGTTGGGAAGGGAGGGTAAGCAGGGACCTGCGACTTCCTGAAGGTCTTGGCGATTTTTGGTTCTCTCGCCACGTTTAGATGCACTACGACTGAGCTTCCGAAGCATTATTTTCAGCTTCTTTTTAATAGACCTTAAACACCGCTTAGTAAGCGATTTAGATCACACCCAGCTGAATCTCCGTTTCTTTCTCTCTTAAACTAAAGTTAGACCGTACTATAAGACATACTCTTATGGCTGAAAAGATAACCTACATCGAGGGTAGTTTTTAAACTTTCGTTTTCTAGAATCTATAAATACACCTTAAAAATGATTCTTGATTCATACAAAAATATCTCAACTCATATTTGAGTAAAATAATATTGTGTTAATCGAGTTGACTCTGGCATACCTATTTTTGGGCATATCTATGCCAAATTTGATTCAAAAAAATTTAAATAAACTCGAAAGAATAACAAAACATTTTTTCCTATGTAAAATAAGTGCCAAAAAATTTTTCTTTGTACTTACTTGCATTCATTGCAGCACTTGATTCACTTAATTGAATTAAGGCTTGAAATGAATCTTTAAAAAAAAATAAAAATATTTAAATAAATATTTTTGTAAACTTACTATTTTTGTTAAAAGTAATTATGCGAAGGACTTTTCCAAAACGAGAAAATATCTAAAAAATTAAAAATTATAATCTAATATTTGATTTAAGTGCGTTAGCATGCCTATATAGCAGGGATCTCACCACCAGATTTTTAAAAAATCAGAGATTTATTTATGTAGTTAGGATCCCTCTAATATAATTAGGGCTGGGGTTTCCGACTCATTTTTAACAGGCCTCATCTTTAACGAGTCGCTCAGACCGAGTCTTTTTCGGGCCAAAATTCGATGCCCGACTCGATCTTTAGGACCGGACAGGGCCCCTATTATAGTATAATGTGCATGTTTATATGTTAGCTTAGTCGGTCAGCAATACCGCTAGCTCGATACCTTCCCATTGTTTAGTTATGCGTCTTCAAGATTGAATTGTCATAAGATTTTTAAACCTATCTATAGTTTTATAGCAAAGATAGTCACAGCTTTCACTTAACACGTACAAGTACTCTACAAAATATAAGGTTTCATAATGGGCCTTAAGCCCTAGCCTAGGAAGCATTTTAATTCTAGCCAGAGTGAACTTTTTCTTCCTTATACCAGTGATAATTCTGAGCACCATATTAAATAATCAAAACAAACCATAAAAAGAACATCTAAAGTAACCGGGTAAAGCATACATTCAATTATTATACGCTTAAAATTTAACAAAATTAACAATATTTAATGCAAAATATTATAAAAACCAAAATTGAATTAGGCTGGTTTTGAACACCGCTAGATAAATCTTGGTAGCTTTGAGAAATAGGTCCTCCATTCATTGTTTGTATCAAACGATTTCCATCAGGATTTGTTGAAAATTTCTAATAAAATTTATGTTTTTTTCAAATTAACTATAATAATTAAAATATTATTCTAATATTTTTTGGACTACGAAAGGTATAGGGGTCCGTACAATGCTTTTTTTGAACAAAAGAGTTAAGGTATAGTTCAGGATCTACAGGGATCTGATATTAGTTCGTGTGTAGTTTAGTGGTAGATTTGGTGTTTTATTGGCATGTGGCTAACTTAACTTAGCACGTGGAGAGCTTAAATATTTGATAAAAACCAATGACTTGAGATACTTCGAAGTAGTATTAATGTACATAGTAGTAAAGTTGGCGGATCCGGATATCCGGATCCAAAATAGGCCGGATATCCGGAAATTTTCGGTTCGGATGCCGGATCTGGATATACGAAGATTTCCAACTATCCGCCAACTTACATAGTATACAAGATCCGTTATAGTATCTATAGGATACACAATACTAGATAACCCTCAAAATTTTTTAATTAGGTTAGCCTTTTTCTTAATTTTCCGACACAACTCTTATCTTATAGTCAGATCTATTCCAATACTATTTTTAACAAAATTTTTTAACTGTAGGATCCCCATAACGAGCATAATCGTTAATCAATTCTCCCCCTCCAGTCCCATTAATCCGTTCATTTCTTCCATTCTCATTAATTGGAATTCCATTTTCATCTTTAGGCGATGTTTGTAAATTATTATTATGATTATTAGCTGCTGCTGCTGCAGCTGCAGCAGCCATTGCAGCAACTTGTTGATGATGATGGAAAGTACTCAACATTTGTTGTTGTTGTTGAATAATTGAATTTGTATTGTTATTTGGTGGAGGCTGGATTAATTGTTGATGATTTACTATCTAAACGAGAGAAACTCGTTTTTAGATATCCCCAATATTAGACACTCCAAGATCAAGTACCTCTTTTTCTTATGGACGAATGAGGGAAATGCCTAAGCGATACCCATAGAAGGGTTGACTGAACCAAACCTAAGTAGGGTTTAGTTTAAAACCGAGAAACTTCCAATATTTCCAATATTAGAAAGTAGAACGACATTTTTAGTATCCGTAATATTAGTAGACACTCCAATATCAGGTACCCCTCACTTTCATAAGCGAATGAGAGAGACTAAGCGATATCCCCAAGTAGGGTTCGGTTTCAAACTGAACAGAAAAAGTGCAGATTTTGGGTTCGATTTTCAGTTCAATTAACCAAAAAATTTGGTAAAATTAACAACCCTGCTCCTAAACGATACCCCGTTCTAATATACACCTCATTGTAAGAAACGATTGTTCAGCTCTAATGGAGGTATTTAGAAATGATGTCTGATTGTATTGAGAGGAAGGATAAATAATTCAAATTATGTATAAATGTACTTTTCATTCATTTAAATATTTAAAATATTTTGTTGAAAATTTATTTGTATACTCACCGGTATCAAAGCAGGTGCTGAGGAGGAGACAATTGCCCCGCCGCCAACAGCAGGTATTAACTGAGGGCACGCGAATCGAATTCTTTAAAAAATATTTTTTAAATTAACTATTAACAATTACTGACAGTTAACGACGAAAAGTAAGACTTGTCAGGGTAGTCTCAATAGAAATGTCTAGATCAGGATCGAAAACCTCGGAAAGTCCATATGTGGACCTTGCATATTAAGTACCACACATTAAGTACCGTATAACCTATATTAATTGCTCTCCTTCAAATAATTACCCCAACTCTATTAATTACTCCCTCTAGCGACAGATCGAAACAATAATTACACTCCCTCGAATAATAAAGAATATACGATATTGCACAGTGAAAAAATATGCAACTGGATCTGGATAGGAAAGGTAAGATATCCAGAGGATTCAGGGATTTCGAAACCGAAGATTTCCTTCTCCAGAAGCTCTACCCAAAAATCATTAATTAAAAGCTTAAGCGAGCTACCATTCTCTAACTCTTAACAATTTCACCTTTTCGCAGCAATTTCTTGTTGCTGCTGGTGTTGATGAGCCTGTGCTGCTGCTACAGCCGCCGCCGCTGCTGTTTGTAAGCCAACCAAGCCGCCTTGGGTGGCCGCCGCTTGCTGAAGCAAATTTGTTTCAGCCAGTTTTAGGGCACTATTTTTAACGAGGCTTTCAAGGCCACTTTTACTAGTGCAGTTAATATTATTTAGCAACTAGAGAAAATTAATTAACTTAATTTTTTAAAATTATTTTTTTTTATTTTTTTTACTTTTTGACAAAATGTTGGGAAGGAAAATAAAAGTTTATTGTTTTTATTGTTTTGTTGGGGACGTTTTTGGCCTGTGAAAAAAAAAATTATTTTTTTCTAAAAATTATTTTTAGCAAACCAGGAATTAATATTACTGTACTGCTTGCTGACGTAGTTAAATTTTATTAGATAAAGTTTAAATTTAAGAAATTTTAATTTTTAATTTAATTATTTTCTTAAACTGAATTGTTAAAGAATAAATTAATAAAAGAAAGTTGAAGGCATTATTAAACAAAAATAATCGAAAAAAATAAATTTTGTGAAGGAAAATTAATAAGGAAAGTGCTTCGGAAGGTATAAGGGTCTTTCGGTCCTGAAAGTTTAGAGGGCGACCATCTCTCTTCAACTGGGGATGGTCGCTTAATTAAGTTTTAAAATTATTATTTTAAAATTATTATTCAAGAAAATCAGAGGATCACTATAATTTCCTATACTATAGAAAAAAAAATTAATAACGAAAGTGCTGCGGAAGGTCTTTTTTTTCAAGTTTTGATGGCAACCAGAAATTATTTTAGTTAAATCGCTACCTTTAAATTCTTAATACCCTTCATCTACAGCCGGACCCCACATCAACAATAGCCCCCATTTTAATGACAGATGTTTTTCTGACCGAGTAGTTTCTACAGGATAATAGTCCGTGGAGTCCGGCATTTACCTTACTTTATTAACATAAATAAAGAGGAAATTTCAAGCCTGAGGAGGGTTTCTTAAAACAATTTTTATACTTATAAATATTTAAAAAATGCTAGAAATACACAGAAATTTTTAAAAATTAAAAAAAAAAGTTTTTTAAACATGAAATAATAAAATTTTATTTTATCCATTTTTAATTTTTAACATAAAAACTACTAGTCTCTAAACATAAAGCATTTACTCTTTTTCTTTTTCATTTTTTAAATTTAATAGCTGATTAAATGAATATACATAAATGACTATTGAAAATCTAAAACGCACGCGCTTTCCCATTAAGCAGCTCTGCCAACATAGCTACCTATAGCCATGTCTAGTGACTTGCGCGAAAATGTTTTTTTGTTTGACTGTCTTTCCTTTTTAATAAAAAAATTTTTTTCCTTTTTTGTATGTTTTTTAAAAAAAAATTTTGTTTAAAAACATATATTTAGGTAGTAGGTAATAGTTTACAATTTCAAAACTTAAGGGTTTGAAGGCCAGCTTTATACTATTCTGGTTAGTTCCAGATCTCTTTCGTCTGATTCAGCCCTAAGCCCCTTTAGCCACCTTCACAATGGATTATACTATCCCGGTAGTTTCGGATCTCCTTTGTCTAATCCAGCCTTAATCCATTGTTACTTTCTAAATTGGATAAAATATTATTTATGTGCTCATCGACTAAATAAACTCGGACATATCCCGGTATAACAATACTACATAGTTCCAAAAACCTAACAAAAAAAGCATATTTAACAAAAAGATTTTAGCACAAAAAAGATTCCAAAATTATTCGAAAAACTATATTTTGTAATACTATGTCGAAAATAATTCTTTACTTTAGATAAGATTTTAAATAACTTTAGAAACTAGGAAATTAATTTTAAAACCTTTAATTTTACCATTTCTGGTAGTGCCGCCTCAAATGGAAATTTGGAGAGAACCCTCAAAAAAACGCAAATTCAGATCGCTAGGCCAGTAAAACCTTACGCGACTTCCAGTCCTATTTATTATTTTATTTTTGTAAGGTCAGATAAGTCCTATCAAATCTTTTTTACTATTCCTGGGTTCTTTTACCTTACTTTTTTATTAAAAAATTTTTTTTTATTTTGCCATCCAAAAATGTGTCAAAAAATAAATAAATTATTTGTTACTTTCCACTAAATTAAACTCTTTTATTTGTTTTTTTTCTGAGTGACTTCATTTTCATTATTATTTAATTTTTTTTCCATGGGGCCTTAAAGCCAAAACAATGCGCAATTGTTTAAAAATATGAGGGAAATGGAGTAAAATCCTTAAAAGGAATTTATGGAAAAAAGAAAAAAAAGTTGTAAGCTCTGCCGGATATTTCTCTACGGTTTTATGTGAAAGTGAGCGAGTCTGACAGCTTTTGGAGGGTAAATGACAGGATGGCGCAAAGCGGCAAAAAAAAAAAGAAAGATGGGGGCACAGACCTTAATTAAATGGAGGCATCGAGTCGAGAGTCGGCCAACGTAGAGGAAGAAAGGGGGGGAGAATAATACTATTAGAAGGATATAAATGACTGTGAAAAGGACGGGAATGATGAAAGGAAGGGAGGGAGGGAGACTAGTAGAAAATAATATATTGATGGAATGTGCCAATAGCGCAAATGTTTAAAAGGGGAGGAAAACAAAAATAATAAAAAATGAAAGGGAAAGAGGGCAAATTAATATTTTATTTATTAACGTGAAGCTGCGCGAGAATTTTTGCCTAGAATATAAATTGTCTGGGTGAAAGGCAAAAAAGGAAAAGCATGAAGAAATGAGAGGGGCATGGGAATGAAAGACATACGTGAAGCATGCGCGGATAAGAAATCGACTTATAAAGTAATTAAGTAATTTCATAAGAAAAAAGAGAGAGAGAGGGATTTATTGCACTTTTAAGACTTTAAAAAAATTTAAAAATTACATCAGAATTTAAAAGTAAATAGAATTTTGAAATATATAAATTGTATTTTAATAATGTAGATTCGCCAGGGAAGGGTTATCTTCTTATTCCGCAGAATTTCGAATTTTTAACTTTTATCTTCCAATTTTTAAAATGAGGCAGGGCCGAGAATTTGCGAGAAAAAAACTTTTTAATGGGGTCCATGTTTATTCACGCATTTCTAGTAATTAAGGACTGCGCTAACAAGATACACAAAAATCGAGACTTCCTGATGATTTTTTATTAGATAATTGGCGATTCTCGAGGCTAGTATGGAAATATTTCGAAAAATCCGATCTCCCTAAATACCGAATATAATATTACTCTTCAGGATATTAGACACCTCTCCCTCTCCCCTTGGCACTATACCTAGATAGTCTAAATTGTATGTATATATTATGGTGATGATCGGGAGAAAAAAACTCGGTAAACGGGATTCGGGTCGGGAAATGACCTCGGGAGTCGAAATCGGGAGGCCAAAAACTCAGGAAAATTTCCCGAGTCGGGAGTCGGGATACCCGAACATCAATAATATACTAATCAAGGGGCGGTTAATCTTCTGGATTTATTAATTGAAATGTACATTAAGGGATCTTCTAAATTCCTAGTTATAAATTAAATTTATTGTTATTTTTATTTAGGAAATTTTTGGAATTTGAGTGTGTGAGATAAAAAAACTTAAAACTTTTTAATGGGGGTAATGAAACTTTGATAGGGAGAGATTGGAATTTATTTTTGAGAGATTGTTTTTATTTTTATTATTCCTCTAATAAAGAATTAACATAAAAATGGAAAAATTTAATAATTTAAATTTTTATTGGAGGGGGAAGGGGGATTAAATTAGAGAATATAGGGAGAATGAGAGAACGATTATTGAGGAAGGGAGTGTGGAGGGAGGGAGGGAGGGAGAGTGGAGGGAAAGTTGAGGCACTACAACTTTTGATTAGTCGGTGAATGAGAGTGTGTATGTTATTTTGAATATTTTACATTTATTTTTAAATAAAGGCCCGAACATGAAAAAGGAATAAAAAAGGATATTGAACACGTGGAATATATTTGTTTTGATTTGGAATTTTGAAAATATTTTTAAAAATATTTTTATTTCGGATTTAGAATGTTTTTTGTTAATTTTCCTGTTAGATCTTTTCTATTAAATGTTTAATGAACACACAGTCGAGCCTGGAAAATAAATCGTATGTTTTGTGTAGCTTGAATTTTGGGTATGGCTTAAGGTTCCTGCCTTACCTTAAGGTTCTTGCGGTTCCCGGCCTATTGCTTAAGGTTCCTGCCCTACTTCGTGCACTATACAATGGCCAACAAAATTTAAGAATGTCCTAAAATAAGGTATATTGTGATCCTTGCAAAATCTTTTCATATCTGAACCGAACCAAAAAAAATCCTCGATTCTTCGGTTTGGTTCTGAATTGACATTCGTATTAAGCATTTATTAAACACTCATTAATTTAAATGTCTACAAAAATTTAATTTCCTTCAACTAAGCATTAAATTAAATTTTTAGCTAGTGTATTCAACAAAATATTATTTAAAATAATAAAATGATGACTGTTAGAAATTAATGTGTATAACTTAACAAAATAAAAAAAATATATTTTTATTTATGTGTTACATTTATTTGCTTGTTTAAACATTTTTAAAAGAAATTTTTGTTGGAATATTTAGAATAATAAATAAATAAAAACATTTTTACTAATAAAAATTTAACGTTTAAAATAAATTTTAGCGTTTACATATATTAAAAAAAAGTTTTTAAAAATAAAAATTTGAAAAATAATTTATCTTATGATGCTATTATTTTAAGAAAATCTTTTATTTAATTTAAAAAATTAATAGTTAAAAAAAGATAAAATTTAATTTAGAAGGTATAAAACCGTTTATATTTCTTTACTAAAGTTAATATTAGGGTTAAAACCGGAATTTTTAATATTTTTGCCAAAATTTAACATTTTTAGAAAAATTTTAAAATCTGAAATTTGTGAAAATGAGTGATTTTATTAAAAATTCACCCAAAATGAAACCGATATTGTCTAAAACTCAAAACCGAAAATCGGGTTTTTATAATTGGGATTAACCGAAAACCGTGGGTACCTGTTAATAACCGGTAGTGACAACTCCAAATTTTAAATCACTAAATTTGGTTGCTCACTAGGCAGAACCTAATAGATACCCTTCCTATTTAATGGAATCTCATTATAAGCGATTTATAAAGCCTATCCGAAATTTCAAAAAAATAAAAATATTGATTAAAAAATTTCAAAAAAAATTTTTTTTACTTAAAAATTAATTAATGTGAGTAATGTCTGTATAAATATATGCATTAACATTTGTTGGGGCAAATGGAGGGAGTAAGTAGTGGTTGGATTGGGAATAAGGCCTTTATTTGGATAAATTCTCTCTCTCCTTTATTTTCTCTTTTTTAGAAACGTCACAATTCTCAAAATTTATTTTTTTAAATAAATATTTAATCTTCTTTTTAGTACGTTCTGTTAAATAATTGTAAGTAGGTAGACAATAAGCTGATATTTAACAAATAAAATTAAAAGAATTCCCAGCTTGTATTATCCTAAATACCTCATATTATCCTCAATATTATCCTCAATCCTTGAAGGTCGGAACTTCCAAAAAAAATTTCAGATACCTACAATTTTTTGTTTTTCATTTGGCATGTCTCAGTTAGAGTCGACTGATCCTGGAATATTCCTGGATATCCGGATACGATATCCGACCCG